CAACCCAGGCCGTTCTATGATTCTGTGATTCTATTCAGTGAATCTGCCTCCATCCATGTGTGTCTCCCTCTTCCACCCCCTTAGTGCAATAAACTCCAGTTTGTGTGAAATTGAGTCCATACCTCCACTCACTTCTGTTGCTGTATTTATTGTCAGTAGTACTCATTTCTGCATTAGTCTTGAAATTTGGCCTTTGACTTTTCTATGATGTGTCCCTTTATATGCTTTCTAAAAATATGGTGTTTTTTGTTTTGTTTTGTTTCCTTTTTTTTTTCTGAAGAATATGTAGCGAAGATGCCTCCACAGGCACACTAGGAAAGTGAAGGGATATGTTATTGGGGAAGATGGTGAACTCTCCGTTATGGAGTCTTTCAGCACTGTGGAGAAGAATGCCTGTTGGAGACTTTAGTGTAGTTGCTTGTGCCTCAGGGCATAGAGGGATGGACTAGAGAACTTCTTAAAACACTTACCACGCTGATTCTTTTCCCCTGGGATTTGGGGAGGATGTGCTGGTGAGACCACATCTGGAATATTGTGTCCAGTTCTGGGCCCCTCAGTTCAAGAGGGACAGAGCACTGCTGGAGAGAGTCCAGCACAGAGCCACAAAGATGATGAAGGGAATGGAGCATCTCCCTGCTGAGGAAAGGCTGAGGGAGCTGGGTCTCTTTAGCCTGGAAAAGAGGAGACTGAGGGGTGACCTAATCAATGTTTATAAATATGTAAAGGGTGAGTGTCAGGAGGATGGAGCCAGGCTCTTCTCTGTGACATCCAGTGACAGGACAAGGGGCAATGGGTTCAAGCTGGAACATAGGAGGTTCCACTTGAATATGAGAAAAAACTTCTTCACGGTGAGGATGACAGAGCACTGGAACAGGCTGCCCAGAGAGGGTGTGGAGTCTCCTTCTCTGGAGACATTCAAAGCCCGCCTGGAGGCGTTCCTGTGTGATCTGATCTGGGTGTTCCTGCTCCGGCAGGGGGATTGGACTAGATGATCTTTCGAGGTCCCTTCCAATCTCTAACATTCTGTGATTCTGTGTGCTAGTGGAGAAATTCTGAAGAAGTGTAATTAGTTTCAAAACTCTATGTTGAATTTGTCACAGTGAAGGCTACTTTGTCAATTTAGAAAACTGGCATAAGCAGCTTCTAGGGGGAACTACAGGTCTCTCTGCCTAATCAGCTTTTTTCTAACTGGTGACTGCCGCTTGGGACCATCATTTTCAAAATCTTCACATTACTACTTCTTTCCCTCCAAGCACTGTTTAGAAGTAAGCAGAGAGCTGGGAAAGGCACAAGTTAGTCCCGCACACCTGTTTGCTGTGGTTTCTATTCCAAAGGGCAGTTATTATCTACAAAGATAAATATTTATATTATATTTCGGCTCTACTTGGAAGAGAAATTTTAGCGATAAGGCATGTGTCTGCTGTTAAGGTTTGAGAATTGCAACCCCTTTTGAAGCAGCATCTAGGTTGGGATCATTTCTAAGTACAGGCAGTTCACCATCTAGTTTACAGAAAGAGAAGTCTAATGTGCCCGGGCCTGTGGTACATGGAAGATACTGCTGGAATTCACAAACAACGCTTCACATGAGATAAAGTTTTCATTAAAATGGGAAACTTCTCTTTCAGCCATCTGCATCTGGGTGTGGTTCTCTGGGTTGATGAAGTAGTTGTTGTTTAAGGAGTGCCTTAAGGCTCTTCAGCCTTGCCCCTTGAACACGTGTAAGCTGCGGCTGTTGGAAGTCAAAACACGAAAGCACAGATCAGCATGTGTTCTGGGACAACATGGTCTGAGCCAGTGGTCTGGAGCGTTGAGTAGTGGTCTCCCTGCTGAGAAGGGCAGGCTTATGTTAATCTCTGACGGCTTTCCCAGGAAAACTAGGGAGGAGTTCTCTACCTCCCGATGCAATGCACATAGGCAAAATCAAGGAACAACATGGACTGAATTCCTTACATAAATAGATCATAATAAATGAAGGGTGAACTCCCCCCAAATATATGAAAGGTGCACTGAGTCATGTAATCTGTCCTGGGTTTGCCTGGTAATTTACTTGAGACCCTGGAGGTGAGCTCTTATTTTCCGCCTCTTAGTTGAGTTTTAGGGCCAGGCTGGGATTTAACTTTTGTGGATATGATAATGTTAATTAGAGGTGTGATATTATGTTTATGGCTAAGAAAAGTACATTTGCATAGGCTTAATTTATCTTGTCAAGCAATGTTTTTTTCTGATGTAATTGACATTAGGAGAAGATGGAAGGGCAGAAGGGAGAAGAGAAAGGTATAGTTTATATTGTAAAGAATATTTTTTTTTTCCAGTCAGTGGTGCAAACTTATCAGGAGACCTGATGTGGTGACATAAGCAAAGCTGCTTTTTGATGCAATTCTCTTAGAGGACTGCTGATCTGTATGTATTGTCCCAGTACGTCATAGGATTAACATTCCACTCTGACACTCAGCCATAGCTGACTTCTAAATCTTCCTCTGTTGCTGAGGTTTCACAAATGATAATCCACTTGACACAAGAATTTTGGATACCTCACTTCTGTAAGGACGGAGATAAATTTTCTTTTTCTGTGCCTGGTTACTTTCCGCTTTCCTGCTGTATGTGTGGATTTGATTTTAAACGTCTCTACCAGCAGCTAGGGCTTTCTCACCCCTCATAATACACATTTGAAAAGTCCTCTGGCCATGACTGTAGTGATTTTTCCGGTGTTGAAATAGACCAGTTCGCAAGTAATTAGACATTTAGGCTGATCTTTATTCTTGTTGTGAATATAAAATAATAATTCCAAGGAAGAATAAAAAGTATCTAGAAATATAACAAAATCTTTAGCAAGATTGTATGATACTGTGTTTAATAAAGAAGAAGGAAAAATACATTCCAAGGGCCTTTCTGTCCTTTTGTTTTCAGTAACAGAGCGGTTTTAAAATATACTGTTTTCTTTCATTTAATCCTGTATTTCTCTACAGAACACATATACCAATGCAGATAAGCTCCTAGAAGCAGCCGAACAGCTTGCTCAGACTGGGGAGTGTGACCCGGAGGAAATTTATCAAGCTGCACATCAGCTCGAAGACCGGATACAGGATTTTGTTAGGCGTGTGGAGCAACGCAAGATCCTGCTGGACATGTCTGTGTCGTTTCATACTCATGTTAAAGAGGTAAAAAACTGGTGCTGTGCCGTGATCATAATTTCAAGCCTTAAAACCGATATTGTCTAATGTTACTTTCATTGTTAGAACCATGACATAGGAAGTCATGAAACCCCTGTTGTACTGCGAGTTTTGGTTTGTAATTCATTGTGGATTGGGGGTTGTTTTGTTTATGGATTTTTTTAGGTTTGTATATATATATATATTTTATTTTTTTTTTTTTACTTTCACAAGGGAAGAGGGGAGGGTCAGATCAGAGAACTGATAACAGCTACAAGACAGCGTTGCTCGGGGGAGATACTGTGCACTTTTGTCTTTTTGGGGGTTTTGTTATCCAGACAGCTCTCCAGTGCAGTTAAATGAGTTGTCAGACACATGGTTAGACAGACATGGTTCAGGAGACTGAGACACATGGCAGAAGGACAAGGCTACTTAAAGCAACCCTGCTGCCCAGAAAGACTTTGTTTTCTTTCTGTGTTTTACACATGGCATTTTGATCTTCTAGATTGATGATTCTTCACAACCTGGGGAGCTTATCTGATCATTACATGATTTGCCTCATGTTTCCAATTACTAATCTCCTTCAAAGGTTGAACTCATACACCAGGAAAAAGAAAATTCGGCCAAACACACTTAATTTTTAGCCAGATCAGTCTTCTCCTCCTATTTGGAACACAGATTGTGCAAATTTATAAGGTCATGGGAGAGGGCAGAATAGGGTAGAGCAAGAATAAGGACTTCAGTAAGAGGTTTTGGTTAAAGGTAGTGGCAAATTTCGACAACTCTAGATTACTTGTTTTCTTGTTAGAGCTCCTATTAAATCTTCTCACTGCTCAAACTAGGTGAAAATATAAAAGGCTTCTGGATCACTGCATGTCAGAGTGTTTGTCTTCCTTTCCTTCACCCTACATTGAGAAATGGTCTGTTCAGTGGGGAAGTGTAGTGTTCAAAGTAGCTTCTTCAGCAAAACCTTGGAGAGGATAAGGGTGGGAGTTTTTTGTATGTGAAACATCTGCTTTGCACTTGAAACAAATGCACAAGGCAGTTGGTCTTTGAAGGAGGTCAGGACTGAATTACTTTTTAGCTCTAGACATGAGTACGTAGCTCCCCCATCAGTTTGCTGTTAGATGCTTCCTTGCTGATATTCTCCCAGGACTCTGCTGCTTTAAACAAAACATAAATGCTGTATCGTAAGCTATTCCTCGAGGGCAACTTTTTTGTTTCACTTTTCTCAAGCACACAGTGCTGTTCCATTACCTGTTGTGAAGCAATGGAACAGTCAGCTGCTGAAACATTTTCGTTGTTTCTTCATTACCTGTTTTTCTTAGCATCAAGAAGAGCAGCTGGAATGGTATTTAAATGGATACAGTTGGTTGTAGTGATGAAAGATGGATACTGTAAAAGGATTTGCAAGGAAAGGGCTTTACAAAATCAAAAAAACTGAAAGGCAGACTGATCTGTGAGTCACTGTTGAGTAATTCTGAGAGGCTGATCCAGATGTGCTGGAATGTTGCCACTGCTCCCCCAGATAATAATGTTTTATTGAAAAAAAAAATATATTCTGTATCTTGATTTATTTATTTGGGAAAATGGATATTATTGTGACCCTGTAAGGGCACACAGCTGTTACTATGGCAGCCTCTTTGCAGCCTGGACTTTGGGGGAGAGGTACTGTGGCTGATGTACACATGTTGATTTTTTTGTTTTTATTGTGTTGGCTAGCCTCTACCTTATAAAGTAAGGAAAATTTAAAAGAGGACTTATTTATGTAAGCAAGACTATATTTTTATTTATTTGCATTCTACTGGAAAATATAGATGAGAGAGCAAGGCAGGTGGTTCATATTTACTAGACTAGTCCTTTGGTTAAGGTGCAAAGAAATAGCAAGCTCAAAGCTGTCTTGTGCTTTCTTTATTCTGATCTGTTTTCAGGAGCATGTTGTTTGTTATCAAACATGCATGTGGAGTGCTGAGAAGGCATCACAAAGCAGATGGAAGATAAAAATGCCCTAAACCTGAAAGTCATCCATGCTTTCTTTGTTGGCAGGAGGATTGCGTTTCTCCTGCAGGATGTGGGAAGTCGTTGAATAAATTAGAGCATACCTGTAAGCACATAACCTTTCTGCTGTATGGTGGAATGAAGAAATCAATGTGCATGTTTAGCTGGTGAAGAGAGAAGTTCAAGCAGTAGGGTAATATGCTAGTTGTAGAAATGGAAAGAGATGTTTCAGTTGTTTAAAAACAAAAAGCCGAAACAAACCATACCAAAACAAACCCCAAAACACCACCAACATGTTTTGCCCTTCAGGTATTCAGGGTGAATTTTGTTTCTTGGGGTGTTTTTGTGGTCTAAAAAATAGGCATGAAGAATAAAAGCCCTGTTTGTGTGTGACAGTTTGAAGGGAGCCACGGAGCTGAGAAAACCTGGTAATCTGAGTTGTTAGCTGTTTTGAGGCTTTGAAATCTGGCTCCAATATCCATCCAATCTCTTGATTTTTTCAAGTAGGATGTTTTGTTGTATTTTTTCTTTTCCCCAGAAATACTTCACGTTGAATGAATGCTCCTCATCTGGATGAAAGCATTCCAATACTTTTTCTCCCCTGTAGCTGTACATAACCTTTATACTTCACACAGAATTTGCCTGCAACTTTTCCCAGCTTCTGTGGGAAGCATCAGGCCTGCAGTGTCTGTGCAGTCCTGTTACTCTGTTCACACTTAGTAAATCAGCACAGTTTCTGCTTTCAGAAAAAGTGTGCTTGCCACAGAAGCAATAGATCGGCTTGACACATCCTGGAGGTAATTGACTTTTGCTGTACCTGTGTACAAAGCAGCTGTGTAGTATGTGTGCAGCAGCCTGTTACGATGCACACTGGAAATGCTGGCTGTCTTTAACATTTCCTGAAGTTCTGTAGCCAGATAGTTACAAGCTGGTAGACCTCCCTGTAACTTACAAACATCAGAAAACAACATATAGGTTCCGAGACTCCGAGTAGACTAACCTCAATAGACCACATTTCTTGTTGGGGGAAAAAAAAAGATGTGTTCAGGGAAGCCAGAAATATGATGTTATGTAACGGTATTGCCATTACTCATTTTGCTTAATGGTGACTCAAGAAAATCAGTTGCTTGCTATATATATAAATTGTGATTCCATGCTGTTACGTTATTACTAGTTTTAAGTTTGTAAGGTTGTGAATATTGATTTTTAGCTCCCATGCAAACAGTGAAAAATTTCAATCTGTAAGCCAAATCTTTTAGTACTGAACTTAAGCCATGCACTGTCAAGCTTTAAAAGTGTTTGGGACCATAAATATCCCTATCAGAATATTTGCATTAGAAGTACTATGTCCTGGCAGGTTCCCAGCCTGAGGATGGATAAAATGCAACTGAACATATGAAACAGTTGTCCATTGCAAGACAGTGAGTCCTTTATGGCTTTTGTGCCTTTTGACATTTAATAGTATGGGGAGGGACAAGGTGAGAAAAAATTGCACAGATAAAAGATATGTTTCCTGCATAAATGCCTATCGTAAAAGGTTGTGTGTAAAACATAGGAGCAAGAGTCAAAGTAGTCATTGCTGCGAAATCTGTCACCAAGTAGAGATGAACAGGATTTTGGTGTAAATTCAAATTCTTCCATACACATACACGCAGACACACATGCATACACACTCTCTCTGAAATGATTCCCTTAGCGTCTATGAGTGGAAGACTGAAATCCTGGCCAAGCCAGGTGTTTGTAGTAGTGCCAAAGTAGAGCAACAGATATTTTCCTAACTGGAGTCAAGTGTGGGAATACAGATCAGGGATGAATGTACATGGAAGAGAATGATCTCTTAAGAGCCTGTTGTCTTTTTTATGTAACATTTTGTGTGTATTCTGACGAACTGATTATAAAATAGCTCAGAGCCCTTCTTATGTATACACAATATGCTTAATGGTGTTACTAGATGTTTCTTTTGGGTTTTTTTTTGTCTTACTCAAGCTAAACTTTATACCAGAATAGACCGAGGTCGAAACAAATAAAAAGGAAGTAGAATTGGCTAAGATTTCAGATACAAAACCTCACTGTTCCTGAACAAAACTAAAGAAACATCGGTCTGTGAAAGCTGTTGAAGGAAGGTGGCATTGTTTCGAGGGTGCCAGTGCATAGGAAGGCTGAAGAGGCCTTGCTCTGGCCTTAAGGCTGCTGATTCATTCATATCTAGCTATGAGGCATGTGTATTTGGTTCAAAAAAGCTTGTTGATAATGGTCTTACTTTGTCTTATAACTCACTACCAACTTCTTTGCATTTTCCGGTATGGAAGGGTGTCCATCTGTGCAGCTGTTCATTTGTTTCATCACAGGGTAGACCTTGAGGTGACAGACTTGCTCTTCTGGTTGCCTGTCACTCTTCAGTATTTGAGTCTTCTGTGCTGGTTGTCTACAGCTTACACGTGGATGTCTTAATACGGCTGCTCTCTCATCTTTGTGCCTTTTCTAGGCAGCAGAGCAGCTTTTGGATGCCCCCATCAAAGTGTGAAGTCTCTGTCCCTTGGGCTTTTGTGTGTGTCTAATATTTGTATTATGTCATTATGGCACGACAATCCTCAGTGTGACGGGTCTGGCAAAATGTATAAAGTACAGTCTCTGATCAGTATTTTGATATGCTAGTCATCTTGAATCTGAGAGTTGAGGACAGTTTTAAAATCTGAAGTAAGAGAAACATTCAGTAGAAGCATGCTGAAGTGTGTTGTGATTTACTGGTTTGGTAGGACTGTAATCCAGATACCCACCACAAATTTTCTCTCTTGAATTTTTTCTATACTTTGCTTTATAGAAGGGACCAAATTTGTATCCCAGCTTTACTGAAATGGCACTAACTGCTTGAGAGAAGTGAGGCTGAAATAGGCCTTTAAGCTGTGTGAAGCTATGATACAGACATTTTTTCTTGTTCAGTTAAGAAATGGGATGAATGCTAACAGGGTGCTAGTAGTTGATGTAATTTTAGCAAGATGTGAGAAAGTTGGTTTTGCTTCAAGGATGAATGTATTCTGAGTAGGAAATTGATTCAATTATAATTGTAACTAGATGGGAATATTTGAAGCTTTTAAAGATAATTAAATCTAATTTTCAAAAAATATGCATGCATTTAGTATCTTAAATGTCACTGAAAGAGCCTGGAAGACAAACCCCTGGGTTTTTAACATCTTATGGTTTTGTTGGTTTTTTTAAAAAATGCAGTTTTTGTCCACTGCATGTCATAGAATCATAGAATCATGGAATGGTTTGGGTTGGAAAGGACTCTAAAGATCAAGTTCCAACCCCCCTGCCATGGGCAGGGATACCTCCCACTAGCCCAGATTGCCCAAAGCCTCATCCAGCCTGGCCTTGAACCCCTCCAGGGGTGGGGCATCCACAGCTTCTCTGGGCAACCTGTTCCAATGCCTCACCACCCTCACAGTGAAAATTTTCTTCCTAATGTCTAGTCTAAATCTGCCCTCATTCAGTTTATACCCATTACCCCTTGTCCTATCACTACACTCCCTGATAAAAGAGTGTTTCCCCATCTCTCCTGTAGGCCCCCTTCAGGTCTGAAGGTCTGTCCTGAAAGCCAAAGCTTACAGGCAGACACACATACATCAGCCCTCTTCTATGCCCAGATTGTCTTGTTAGGGAATGCTATTGCAACATTTGGCCCTGTACAAATAATAGCTCCTGCAGCAACTGTGTGTGTGGTGATACACATACTGCAACTCTGCTGCACGGCAGGGACAGAAAAGAGGAATTGGCAGTTTTTAAATGCAGAAACTGTGTGCCTTTCTTTGTCTTACCCTGCTGAAAAGACTGATCGCGTATCCAAACCCCATTATTATAAAAATGCAAAATAAAATAAATTGCAAAATAGAGTGACAGGTATTTTACCTTAATAAAATAACTGTTTCCCGCTCTATATTGTCTATACTTTGGAAGGTATTTACTCAAAACTAATTGTTCTCCAATTATATTTGGCAAAATACTGTAAAGTCTTATTTAGTTGCAGTCTTTCAGGAGATTGCAGGGATGGGACGTAAATGGATAGAGGCCCGTGATGGAAACACTGAAACTTCCAGGATGTTGCAGACAATTAAAATAATACCATCTCAGTGACTAATGGCATGCTCCCAAGAACTGAGGAAAGAGGTAGCACAGGATGCAGGCTCATTCAAGCAGATGTTTCTTGGTCTGTGCTATATTTAGATGAAGAAAAAAATCTGCTGGGTGAAACATTTGCCTGTCAGGGATTCAGAATTTTATTTCTCTCTCCAATTTTAGTTCTGATAAGATGTGAAAAGCAGATGAAAAAAGAAGAGCCTCCTTCTGTGACTGGATTGAGTTATTTATACAGTTTTCTCACTGTACGTTAGAGCTGTCTTGCTGCTGGATAAAATTCTTACTGAGGTCACAGGACTCAGTCATTTGTTTAAGGATATTCGTGCTGCTTCTTTTACAGAGAATAGAAAAAAATATACCTGGAAGTTGCTCAAAAGTTTACACCGAGAGAAGGTTAATAGTTTTATAATGATGAGTTTGTTTGGGGTTTTTTCGCCACCGGATTTTTGTTGCCAAGCTCTCTTTTATGGAATAAAGCGTTACCTCAGAAAATCACTGCACTGTAAAATCTGTAATTCTGCACTGCTGAACATGTGTGGGTAAGCTCCAGTCTGTTCACCCCCCACTGTAAACTGTTTGCTTTCTTTTGGCTTTGCTGTGCAACCTTGTACTGTCTTTATCCCTAGTTTTGTATCCAAAACAAAGGTAATTTATGTAATTTCTAGTATATCCAGTGCTCATTCTGGTTTTAAAGCTGTATACAAGCCAGCTGGCTATTGCCACTCATTATGAATTAAACTCTCAATAAATTGCATGAATTTCTATCCAGCTTTAGTAACCTGGCAACTCTGTTCATCTGTGTTGACTTTATTCTAACTTTTGTGTATAAACATGGAGATTATTTGGGGGGGGGAAGCTGTTTGTCAGAAACCTTGCAGAAAAGTCTAAAAGCTTGTTTGCTAATATATTAGAGTAACTTTCGCTACGGAAGTGTCACAGAGCTGTTCAGTCACTTCAGAAATGGCTTAAGTTCTTCCACTTTCAACAGCATATAAATCACAGCTGGACAAGTAATGCATACTGATTGCTATCCTTCTCCTTCTGCACATCTGTAAAATGTTTTTCTTTCCTAAGCAGTGGGTGATTCAGCTAATGAACTAGGCAAATCCAGTGTATTTTTGAGCCCTTTGGTACCTTGGGGGCAAGATACCGTGTTTATAGTCATGCTGTGCTGACCAGGCACGAAGCCAGTCAGCGTAGCACACTGTTGTGCTAGCACCCATGTCTTTCTGCTCTAGGCAGGTGGTGTTGCTTTGAACTGGCTGCGCAGAGGGAGGGGTCTGCTTGCTCTGTGTGGGCTTGGTCTCCAGCATCCAGGGTGAGATTTAAGGGAAATATTTCTGCATGCAGTACATCACCAGCACAAAGCATAAAAGTTTCATTGCTCCTGCCAGGTCCTCTCCACCCAGTTACAAAAGTGGCTGAAGCATATGTGAAGAATTGCAGAGGTGAAGCGTCCCTTGTACAGGTGTGACGCAGCTGAGATGCGAAAGATGGATTGGAAAAAATTGAAGTGGTTCTCAGACCTGCCTTTTGAGCCACAGTGCAGGTGCTTGTAAGGGAGCCAAGGGGCAACTTGATATAGTCCAAGAGACTAAAAATGGCTTTAATTCCAGTTTGTCTGTAATAAACATCTCTGAAAATTGGCTCCTTTACCATTAGAATAAGTATGAGGTAGAACTCTTCCATCTAGCACCAAACACGAGATCTGCAGTCAGCAACAAAGTGTTACTCTCAAATGAATACATTTGCACAAGTTACAAGCTGCGCTGTTTGTGTGTACACACCAGCTCGCTTGGAAGAGCTCTTATACATTGCCCTGTTGCTACGGTTCAGGCATAAACTTCTTAAGCTAAGAGAGGAATAAAAAAGCATGTCCTCTTGGGCCTTCAAACCCAAGTAAAGTTTTCAGGTGGTATTGTGAGGCTTCTTGCTCATAAGTTTAATTTGTCTCAAAGTGAAATTTGCATTACTAAGTATGCATTTGGGGAAAAAAAAATTTGGATACTGCATTGGGTTATGCTGGAATGAATGTTGACGAGTGCTTTTGACCCACTTCCGAAGTTCTTTTCATTCGTACTCCTTTTAATAAGAAAGAGCGTTGTGGCTTGAGCTTGTAGTGTTTGCAGCTATGGAGTTGCATTCAAATCTGTGACAGGCATTGTCTTTGAAGCATATGAGCAGTCAGAATAGCAGTGTATGAATAGGCAGTTCCGTTTGGTGAGGGGGAGCGTAGTTGATTTGTAGAAAAGAGTCTGCTTAAACGTCATTAATTCTTCCCAATTCGGAAAATTTAGCCTATAGCTTGGTTAACTCAAAACCTACTGTAAGGCTCTAAGATATAAAACCTAGCATTTGGTGTTAAAATAAAGCTTCAAAGGAACCAATTAATCAAGATCTAGAATCCTTCATTGAATTTTCTATTTTAATGTAGCTCCATTGGTAGTTAGGGAACCTTTATGATCAGAACACTACAAAATCAGCAGCATGAAGTAGGTATTTCTGTAGCAAATGTTATGCAAAGAAAGAAAACATCTGTTCTTCTCTTTCGAAATTAAGCCAGTTTTGATTACTTTCTTTCTGTACTTATGTTGACCTTTTAATTTAGGTTCAAAGATAATAAAGCCTATTTGTGTCTCTAAAATGTATAAAGGCAGAGATTAAAATGTAAAGATCTTGATACTTTCAGTCAGAACAGAGTTAGTCCTTCAGGATAAAAACCAAACTGTAATCCTTGTTCTTGGAATCGCAGGGTGTGGGATGTTGATGGTAAAAGAGGAGGGACGTGGTTTGAATGCCTCCTGCGAGAGGAGCTGTTTCCTCATGCTGTTAGCGCTGCTCTCAGGAGTGCCGCAGGAGTCAGCCGCGCTCCCACTCTTCAAGCGGTGCTTTTACCAGTTGCACAAGAGATGGCTGGTGGTTTGTTGATGAGTAATTTTCACACAGAGCTTAGGATGCAACAGCTTGCCTCATGAAATTGTGGAAGAGAGCACAGTAGGGTTCAAGTGACCAGTAGTGATACCGGACTAGCATATACCTAGAGATTTTTCCATAAGCTGCAATGCACAGGCAGTTCTGAACAGGAATACATGCATGTGTTAAGTAGCAGGGGAAAATGTTGAATTAACTGGTGGAATTACTTGTGATAATTTTTATTGTAATAGTGTGAAATTGACATCAAGAGGGTAAATACCATAGCTATAGAGATCGTGATAGAAAAACTACTTCTCGCATCTGATTTCTGTCTGTATTTTGTTTTCTGAAATGCCTTTTTCTTTCTCTTTTTTGAAGGCCACTGAAAACTGTTATCTGTATGCACGTGTCAGCCTGGCAGTGTAAATTTGATGGTGGCTACAATACATCTCCCTTCCTTCCTTCCTTCCTTCCTCCTTTCTCTCAGGGAGTGTTACCATAGCATTTCCCTCCCAGGGACTCTTTCGCAGAGCTGCAGATGGGATTCTTGCTATGAACTCTGTGCCGCTCAATCAGATACACTCAGTACTGTAGAAGGAAAATGGGAAAGAAAGGGTGACTTAGCAACACGGATAAAGCTTTCCTGGTATTTCCAAGAATCAAAAACCTTATTTGAAACAACGGCTTATTTTTATTAAATTGAGGATGGAATTTTTCTATGAAGAGAAACAAATCCTGTTTCCTCCTCCCCCATCCCCTCCCCCTTCAGTCTGTTTTCTCTTGTCCAGGAAGATTGATTTGGAATAGTGACTGCCCGATCCTGGAGTTTACCCTTCTGTTTTTTTTCCCCCCTCTCCTTTAGCTGTGGACATGGCTTGAAGAGTTACAGAAAGAACTGCTTGATGATGTCTATGCTGAGTCTGTGGAGGCTGTCCAAGACCTGATTAAACGTTTTGGTCAACAACAACAGACCACTCTGCAGGTTACAGTCAATGTCATAAAAGAAGGTGAAGATCTTATACAGCAACTAAGGTAAAACAAACTTTTTAAAAATCTCTTCTGGTGTACATCCAATACTCTGGGAAGCTCTTTCTGTTTTGAGAGTAGATATGATGACTACAAGATAAGACCTATAAATAAAACTTGTAAATATTAGTACCACAATGATGTTTCTTGCTGAACTGATGGTCTCTAACCCTCTGTTTACAGGAAGCTCAGCTTATAAACACTACCTCCACAAGAAGGAGATTTTGTTTACATAAGCTACCTTTGTGATGGGAGCAATTGTATGTCTTTGTGGTCTGACAAGCAGGGCTCTGTAGCGTTCTGAGTTCTAAGTAGCAGCATTTTTCTAAAGAGACACTTGAAATTGTTTTGCACACTGATAAGTAACTTCACTGTAGTAAAGACCATCAGTTTGCAGTCCATTTCATCCAGTAACAATCTAAATAAATTTGGGCTCCAGCTGCACTGCTGCATGTCTCTTTTGCTGCAGGAGCTGATATTATCATACCTGAATTTGCAGGTTTTATACTAAAGTAAAAGAATTTTTAAAATGATAATATTTTTCTTTTTCTTTATTGCCAGGAAGGTTCAGTAAAGCAAATAGTTATCACATGCCACTTCCTTTTCAAAATATAAGGGTTTGTCTCTGGTTTTAAATTCTATTCTTCCTGTAAACAGAATGTCCTTGAATGTTGAATTAATAAAAAAATGAAAGTAATTTAATTTCCTAGTGCTTTTTAAAGTAATAAAACATAATTTAGACTTTTATTAACAAAGATGTACAGACTTAGCTTTCATGTAATATAACTTGCACTGGACTTATGTGAAACATTCTTACATTTTGTGGTGTTGGATAGCATCCAAATTGTACATTTTGTGTTTTTTTTTTTTCAATAATACTCTTTTTTCTTTCTTTTTTCCTCTTCCTCTTCCCCTTCTCTCTGCTTTGAATAGGGATTCTGCCATTTCTAGTAACAAGACCCCCCATAATAGCTCCATCAACCACATAGAGACAGTCCTGCAGCAGCTGGATGAGGCCCAGTCTCAGATGGAGGAGCTTTTTCAAGAACGCAAGATCAAGCTTGAGCTGTTTCTACAGCTCCGCATATTTGAAAGAGATGCAATAGATGTGAGTATCTGCTCTTGGAGTTGCACTGTACTTACTTCTCCTCTCATGTAAGAACATTCATGCTGAGATGGTTGTGTAGTTGCATTGGCATGTAGCTCAGATGACTGATAGACTTAGTTCATACCTGAACTAAGGCTTTTGTTTTGTATGTGAAAGTGTCAGGAGAGTGCAGAGCTGAGCTTTTTGATATTAACTCCAGCTCTGATTGGCTCCCAGTATGTCTTCAAGCAAGCATCTTGTAAAATCGTAATGTACCAGTTGCTTTATCTGGTAAATTTGGTTTGAATATCAACCTACCTTGATGTGACTAGTATGCTTACAGTTAATACGAATAAGACTTGAAAGGTGGTTTAGTGCAAACCCTCTAAACTGTTGCTTTGTAGTAACACCCCTCTTTCTTTTACAATTCAGCAGTCTCTTTTCAGTTGACAGCTACAACTGGTGCTTGGAATTCTGTTTTAATCTTTGGGGATGTTGTATGAGCTGTCTTTTTTTAAATAAGATTATTTTCCACCTCTGAAAATAACACAAAAGGAGTTGTAGTGCCACACTCTTGCAAAGCTTCAAGTTATGAGATTATCCGAATCTTGGAGGAGGCTTACAATTTATGTAGGGGCATGCATACAAACAGACATGAAACTCTATATGGAGCTTAGGTTAATAGAATTGCGTTACAAAGCTTCAGCTAGGTTGATCGTATGACTTCTGTAAAACCACCAGCACTGTACACAGTGACTGAAACTGAGTTGGTGCCTCAAAAGATTCAGGGTTATCCGTTGGTAAATGATCCCGTTTGAGTATATAAATGGCTTATCTCAAGACTCTGGCAACTGGGAGTTAAAGTCAAAATTTTACCCCTTTACTTCTACATAGTAAAAGCTGCAACTGTTAGTTAGGTAGGAACGGTGTAAGGGCAAAGAGGCAGTTGTCAGAAGTGATAGCTTCTCGGGTGTTTTTGTTTTCCTAAAATGAGGCTTAGATATCAGTGCTGCTAAGCACATTATTACGAGCAATGTAGGAGTAGGCAGACACAGTTCCTTGATCCCATAGAGGAAGTGAGACTGTGTGCTCTGCAGTAATAACGATTCTGGTGTAAAGGAGGACCAAGAAGGTTCTCTATTTTGCAGTTCAATCTCAGGAGGTGGAACTATTCTGCAGGGAGTTTGCCACTTTCATTATGTGAGAGTAGCTGTCTTGAGTATGCAAGGGAAAAGCTTGGCAGAATTGTCATTGTAATCATTAAATGGATGACTGATATATGTGAAGGAACACAGAAGGTATCCCCTTTTATAGGACTGTGAGCAGTTTTACAGTCTCTGCAGAAGTGATCTGCAGTGCTCAATGGGGTTTGTGTGATGTTCTTGGAACACTTTTGTTGAGGAAATGGCAGCCGTGGGGGGTAAGGCATATACCAAGAAAATTAATGGAAAAATTAGTTAAAGGTTTGAGTGAAGTTCATGATTAAGGTGATCGCTCTCTGCTGTAGGTTACCTAAACCAGTATTCTACAATAGCAGAAGGCTGGTTACAGGAGCCCAGCTTTGCAGATGTGTTCTAGTTCTTCAGTGCAGGATAGCATCTGTATAGATAGTAGTACTTTGATGTACGTTGTTTGGTGACGGCCATAGGCTTTTGCAGTGGAAAGCCGCATATCCTAACTTGAGAGATCTTGCGTTTTCTGAAGCTGACACTTGGCATGCTTTACATTTTGGCACATAAAACATAAAGCAAAGTACCAATTACCTTGTTGAAAGAGTTGGTGGTTTTTGTTTATATGGCTTGGAAACAAAAATCATGCTAATTTAAGATTGCCAAGGAGCCCTCCAGGGAACAAAATGACCCTGTCTGCAGACCATCTTCAGCAAAATGTTGATTGCTTTGCTGTCTTTGCACCACGTCCTCTCTCTGCTTCCTCAGCAAAGCATGGTTCTCTTTTCCCTCTCCTTGAAGGCAGACATCTGTTCAGAAACTTCCGGGAAGAAAATGCAGGGACTAGTTCCAGCTCAGTTGTTTGAAAGCAGAAGCTCGTCTGAAGTAGTGTGATAGTGAGGAGGAGCCAGATGCCAGCTAGGAGCTTGCAGACCTTGTTTTGACCTCCTCCTTTGTCCTGGATTTTGTGTGACTGACCCAGTCAATTAAGACTTGGCTGTAGGGGCAGTTCATTCAGGGGAGCATCCTGTGAGGACAGTTTTTCTGGAAGACAAGTGGTGTTTCTAGCTTGTCTTACTGCTTGCAAAATAGCACTGGCTAAAATGGGACAAAGGGTTCCCCTAGCACTGCAAGATCATACTGTGCAGCTGTGCCTCTGGGGACAGCGGTGAGATTTGCTGGCAGGATTAGTCCTCCACTTCTTGTCCTTACTCTTCCCTTGTTATTCGCTGACAAAATACTGTTTCTTCTAGTTGCTGTCTTTTATCCTGCAACTTTTCAGATTCTCCTGCTCCTCTGAAATTGCTGTAACTGCAGCAATGTTTCTTCTTTGCCCCTGGCTCTTGGCATATAAACTTGACCTCTCTATCCTCAGTAGGTATTTAAGTGCCATTGGTTGTGAGCGATTGAAGCATTCTGTTGCGAATGCCTGTATTACCTAAAGGCCAGAAGGAGCAAAATGTATGTGAGGAGTCCCTTGCTAGGGTTATTAGTAGTAGCATAAGGAAGATATGTATGGATGTCCTGGGTTCAGCTGAGACAGAGTTAACTTTCTTCGTAAGAGCTAGTAAGAGGCTGTGTTTTGGATTTGTGCTGAGCAGAAAGTGGTGTCTACAGTTGTTGCGAGGACATTCAAGATCGTTTTAGCTTCTCTGCTGGGCCAGTGTCTGCTGGTGCAGGAGAAGCTGGGAGGGAACACAGCCCAATTGCTAGCCTGGGTTTTGATCTTAGGTTTGGGATTGAGACCCAAAGAGGCCAATAGTCTATTCCATATCATGCACATCATGCCCAGTATATAGAGGAGGGCCTCTTTTGGTTCCGGATCCTTTCTTGCTCCGGGTCAGCCCTCTTTTCAGGTCAGCTCTCTCGGGGTGGTCCCTCTCGCTGGGTCATCTTCCTCCCTTAGCCAGCTCTCAATCTGGGACACTTGGGCTCTTATCTCTGTTGGGAGAGTGCAGTTTTGGGACTCTCCCTGCTCTGGGATTGTTAGCCGGAAACTGGCTGAGTCTTGGTCATCGGTTGGTGAGCAGTATCGCTGTGTATCACTCATTTGTATATTTGTATATATTATTATTTTCAATATTACTGTTGTTTAGTTATTAAATCATTCTTATCTCAACCCATGAATCTTCTTTCTCCTTAACCCTTTAATTCTCTCCCCCATCCCTGTGAGGGAGGGGGGAGTGAGGGAGCAGTTGTATGGAGTTGGCTCCCAGCCAAGGGTAAACCCATCACAATGGACCTAGGCAGTGGGAAGGTAACACTGGCAGCAACCTACGCAGCCTGAAATGTCTGTGTCTCATCTGTGTCTGTGCATTTTTGCTTGTCTGTAGCTTAAATGCCTCTAGGCCTATGTCAGGGCTCCACACAATGCATACCATGCACTTTTCAACTCACAGCTTTATCTCAACTCTATTTTTGGACCATGCTTACAAGATGCCTGTTAAGTCATACAGCTGAAAAGGCAAGGATGCAAAGTGCTGGATCACAGACACCTAACTCTTCTTCCTTTCCCATTTTTTCTTTTCTTTCTCCCCAGCACATAATATTTTCCATGTCCTGGTTAGCACTCAGTTGGTACAAGGAATACTAGTTAGACCCTTCTGAGAAGAGACCTGTGGTTCTTTATTTCTTTCCCACTCAGCACAAAAGCATCAACATCCTTTCTGCGCTATAGCCTGCCTTGTGTCCTGTCAGTGTTACCTTTATGTTTGTTAAAACCTAGGAGTTGTCAGGCAGCTCAGAGTCTGCACTAGGAACTTTCTGAACACATGCCATGGTAAGTAGGTACTCTGTGTTTGTTCTGGGTTGTCCATTTCCTGACAGTGGTATTAATTTGTGATTCAGTCAAGTTAGATGTCTGTTAGTCATTCGTCTTTGTTCTGTGTAATGCTAAGTGTCTTGACAAAGCTTTAAAATAGGAGCCTACTCACTCTAAAAGTGAAGCAGAACTTCAGGGGAAGCCTTGAAGAGTGTGGGCAGAGAGTGCTTAATGCATGTTATTTTTGTTTTAACTCTGCCCTCGGTGCATTTCAGATTTGCACTCTGGGTGCAATGGCTGAAATAGATCACCTGGAGCCACCCAGTTACTGCTGAAAAAATGTACGGATTACTGCCCTTGTTAGGAAGCCCGGCTGTGATGTGCACTGACTTCTTATCTTTTGAATGAATGTGGGACCATGCTAGCATTATTTCTTTATTTGAATTGCGGGCTTCCTAGCCTTTTAAATGGGACGGGGAATGTCTTGCTCTTGTACAGTGTTTCAGACTGCTTTAATCAACGTGGGCCATAATCTGAACTTCAGGGTTACGTGAAATAACATGGGAAAAAGTTTTAGTTCTTACTGTTCGTTGTTCTTTGGAGGCAGTTATCACTGAAACCTCTTGGCTGAGGTGACAGTGTTGATCTCCTAAAACTACCTGTCATTCACATCAGGCACAGTGAATTGCAGGACAGTCTGAGAGGGTGTAGTGACTACAATATACTAAACTGTTCCATTACTATAAAAATACTGACACTTAGCCACAGCAGTCTCCCATGGTGAGCTTATGGTGTTCATTGCTTTATTTCCACTCAGTTTAATAGGAAGAGAAGTAAGGTTTTGGCATCTGTCCTGAAGGGAGATGCACTGGCTTTTTTTTTTTTTTTTTTTTAATAACAGTGGCACAAATGTGCCACATTAACTCAATCCACTTTTTAATGGTATCTAGAAATATGATGTTTTGATGGCAGACTTTCACAGTGTTCTTTAACACTCAGATTTCTCAGTTTGATTAAGTCTAACTACAATTACTTCTTACTAATGTTGTTAACTGAACTAGATGGAAAGAGGATAGTAAATCTGATTTGTCAGAGCTTCCATAGTGTGGTGGGTGGTTTGAAGAAACAAATGTTAGGTCACCTCTGCTGTTTTTAGTAGTGAATGAACCCAGAGTTTTGAAGATGAGCGGGGAAGAGCAGGTCTGAGGTGCTTGAGAGCAGAAAGGGGAGTTAGCTGGAAGTAAGCAATTTCTCAGGCTGGACTGTCAGAAGACTTGGTGTTTGGGAAATATTTCAGGTCAGTTAAAAGGAGATGAAGAGTAGAGAGGGATGTTGAGACATGTTGGGCATGGACCAAGTAAAAGGGAAACAAAGGGAATTTGGAAAGGGTTTTGTGGTAGGGGAAACTTGTGTGTATGTGTTTTGAGAGAAGAAACCACTCATAATGCATAAATAGATTGTGTGTGTAATATTTAGAGCACATGGAGGAGAAAGGAAGGAAGCTTTAAGCAGTGGCTAAAAAGGCCTTGTCTTGTATATCTTCCTGCAGTGCTTGTCCATCAGCTTTTCTGTTTTCAGTGTTACCCTTGAAACATGAGTTTCTGCCTGTTTTCACTTTGGTAGAGCTAGCTGATTGGGGTTAGGTGTCTCCCGTCATGGCATGATGCAAAACTTAAATACTTGGTGAATCAAGTAAAATTTTTGCAGAACACCTTTCAAACAGGGAGTAAACTCACTGATGCCACAATTTAAAAAATAATTGCTTGATGTGTCCATTGTTTATGGTGTCATGTGAGTAGGATGGAAACAAGCCTTCAAGAAAGATTGTATCTGGCTACAGAAACTTTATCCAGATGATTTAACTTTACTTTCTCCTCAATTCTGCTTTTTCTACAAGGCTTGTTTTCCTGGAATTTCTCTTGTAGTTTAGCTGTCTTGGTAACTTCACAGCTCTGATTAACCACTTGAAAAGTGTAGTGGCATTTTCCTTTGGCTGAAAACAAATTACTTTGGTTAAATATTTATGCACCTTTCCCAAGAACTGCAGTAGTTTGTGGCAAAACTCTGCTGAAAATTCTGGGAAAAAAAATCATTACAGGATTGAAGTGTGTCAAACAGAGCTCTTTGAAATAAGGAACTGATGCATCAAAACTGTGCCATAAGAGCTCAACCCACTTCCATCAGTGGGGATTGTAAGCATTATCTGCTAGACTTAAAAGCCATTTTGTATCCTGATTGAAATAAGTATTTTACATTTCAGCCGGGTTTTGGAATAAGATTTAGAAAATACACCTGTCTGGACAGACAAGGAGGTCTTACTGTTGTGATACATGTTTTCTGTAGTTACCCTTCTCTGGACATCTTATGGCTGAAAGTAAAAGAACTAAAGTGTAAACTGAAGTATAGCAGAATGATTTCAGCAAGTAAATTTAACTCTGATGTTACAGGAATACTGTGCTAAAGTAATACGTTTTGGTTTTGCTCCATTCACTAAGTACCCTGCCTTTTGTAACAAGTAGTGTTTCTCAGTTGTCTGGCAGAAGTTGAAGGTGCTCACAGAGCCTGACGCTTCTTGCTTACAGAGGGGTAGAGCTGGCTTTTCTGTAAAAGGGCTTGAGACTGGTGTAACTGAAAGCTAAGCTGCCACTTGATGTGTGGATTATTACTTGGTGCAGTCTGAAGAACTGAAAAGATGTTTTAGATCAATATTATCCTTCAAAAGTAGAGTTAAAAACATTTTAACTTCACCTGTTTCACGAGTGATATGGTGATGAAGGAGTACCTTAAACAAGGAAAGGGTACCTATAGTGTTACAGGCTTTGACAAGGCAAGCACTGGTTGAGGGAAGGCTGTTGTGGTTCTCAAAGAGATCCTTCAGGACTGCTTGCTGAAATTTAAAACCCATGCTGAAACAGCCCATGTCTGAACCACGGTGAACCTCATCAGTGAAGTCAGTCATCAATGAGCAATTCAAGTTCCTGACCTCCATTCTAAGTGCAGCATTGGAAGTAAACATACATTGTCTAATGGGTAAGTGAACATTGTCTTCCTCCTTTTCCCCCCAGATAATTTCAGACCTCGAGTCTTGGAATGATGAGCTCTCTCAGCAGATGAATGACTTTGACACTGAAGATCTTACAATAGCAGAACAGAGACTCCAGCATCATGCAGACAAAGCCCTGACCATGAATAACTTGACCTTTGATGTCATCCACCAAGGGCAGGATCTGCTGCAGTATGTCAATGAAGTGCAGGCATCTGGTAAGATGGCTCCTTCGTGCTATTCTGGGCAATGGCTTTGTAAGACTTATCCAGCTGTCTCTCCAAGGCGTGTGTGAAAATGAGAGAGGTGCTGATTGGCTGTAAATTGGAGATGTGGACTTTTTTTTTTCTTTTTTACTCAAATCGTTTTTGTTCATGATAGTATGTTGTCATTAGGGCACGTAATTTTTATCTAAGACTTGGCAACACCTGAAAATGTTTAGGATTTTAAGAAGCAGATTCCACTAAGGAAGTCAGTGAAGTTAGAGTGAATAGCAGGGAGTTAATTTTATAGTTAATTGGAGCAATGCAGTCAAGCCAAAATTTTCAGCTTTCAATACCAAGTCTTTGGTTTTGGTTTCTTATACCCCTTCACTTGAAGTTTTTAACTGTATACAGTCAGCCGAGGTGAATCTCAGACTTCTTTAAAAAAGAAAAGTTAATAATGCATTTTTAAAGAGTGCAAAAACTATGCTAATTTAAGCAAATGCTCTGAGGATTAAGTTGAACTTTGAGAAGGAACTGGAAAAGTAAGTATAAAACAGTGGAAACAGGCTGTTTGTCTTTGGAAGATTTGTAAGACTTTTATGAACAACTGGCTGATTACAGGTGTTGAGCTGCTTTGTGACAGAGACGTGGACATGGCAACGCGTGTCCAGGATCTGCTGGAGTTCCTCCACGAGAAGCAGCAGGAGCTGGACCTGGCAGCCGAGCAGCACCGCAAACACCTGGAGCAGTGCGTGCAGCTGCGGCACCTGCAGGCAGAGGTCAAGCAGGTACGCCTGGGCTCTGCCCCTCGCTGGGGTGCCGGCAGCCCCAGAGCCATGCCACACGTTTTGGAGAGGTCTGTTCCCATCAACAGAGGTGGAAAAGTAATTTCTGCTGTGTAAAGGCTAGCATTTGGAGGGAGGGACTTTCAACATCTAAGAAACTGCATCCTCTGTTAATATTGTGGATTATAATTTGCATTAACAGTCTGTGTTTCAGCCTGGATACAAGCCAAGTACTTGAAGTGTAGAGCAATTTGAACTTGTGTTAAGTAGTCCATACTTCTATCATCTGTATTCTGGTTAATAAAAACGTTCAGTGATATTCCCTGAACACTGACCTAATCTACAAATGGAGAGAACGTAATATCAGCAGGGTTTACTTTCCGGGAGAAGAAAAATGAAGTTTTGCTTTTCCTGGCAGTAATGTGGCAAGTTTTGATGTCCTTATCTGATAAACACTTAAACTTTTTGTGAATTTGAGATGCTGTGGGCAAAACCCCTGAAGTATGTGAAAGTTTAAAAAACAAACAAAGCACAATAGAGAGGTAAGAGTTTCTGATCTTGCTCACACTTGGCAGCATCACAGAAGTCTACTAGAGTCTGTTGTATTAGTATGTCACACAATGGTTCTCAATGCAACTTGTCCTTTTCCTGTTTGTCATGAGCTCTTACAAAAATTCATCTTCCTTCTGAGACTGTGAATGAGAGCTCCCAAGTTGCAAAGTAATATAAAAAGGGTCTAGTTAGCATAGGAGAGGTGAATAGAAGATTCCCAAAGTATTTCCAGGCAGTGGTTGGTTACTCTATAGTAGCAGACCCAAAGTTCCTTTGTGGTCTTGAATTCAAGGAATGCAAGGAACTGGTAGTGTCTGCTGTCAGTGCAATCAAAGCGTTAATCAAACATATGATCTTCTAGTTCAAGCCTTTCCATAGTCTACTGAACTGTCCTGTATCTGTCTTGGCACTTATTCATGTTCATAAATGCAAATGACAAATGACTCCTTTCACATGAGTAATGGTTGAGATAAAGTTATTACGGATCACTATGGATTCTGTACTCAGTTGCATACTGTCTCGAGGATGAAGGAAAAGAGTGCTCATTTGGAAAGGAAAAAACAAATGAAAAGGGGTGTGAATGCTAGCTGAGGCAGTCTCATCCCTGTGCGGTACAACATTGGGTTAGGATTGGATGGGTTAGTAAGGAAAAGAAATTGATGATTTCCATGATACTGAAATAATATTAAGTTACAGAATAGAGCATAGCACTTGGGTAATATTTCAAAGACACACTGTTGAATAGTTATTTATATTGGATGCTTCCACAGTAAAGTGAGTACCTTGCTCCATTAGCTTTCTTTGTATGCAAGTTAAATGTGACAAAAGAGAGATACATGTTTAAAATCTGTGTTTGCAGAACAAGTGTTCTGTATTTTGGCAGATACAAGCAAATGATGAACATTACGGATTGTAGACAAATATCCATGTTGAACTTAGTATGTGGTTTGTAGGTCATTCTGTACGATCCTGGTAACATTTCCAAACCACTGCTAGCCCTGATTGAAACTGAAGCTCAACTTTAGATTTTTAAGCACTGAAAAAAACGGGTTCATCCTGCAATAAAGGTATAGGTAGTATACTATCCTAGATAGCTGCCTTTTTTTTAGTAGACTGTAATTTTGGAGAAAAAATTGATTCTGTTTATATTCCTAGTACATGTGTCTGCTGAGTTGGATTTTATGCTGAATTAAATGCTGTAATAGATGAGAATTTTCAAACAAATTTACAGAGCTGACAGAATATTCATGGATTACAAACTCCTTTTCCAGATTTTCATTGTACAGATTAAGCTGCAATACTTCCCCAGCCTAACAGCCTAAAAATTGAGTGGAACTAAAACTGAATGTTATATTGTCTCATAGGATTTGTTTCAATCCCCTTTGGAAAGCTTTGGGGCTAGTAACTTTTAGTTTTGTGATTTCAGTTGCCTTTTCAGAAAACCACATCTAATTTATTTTAGTTTTTACTAAATACCAGGAAACATGATCTTCTCCTGTTTCCTCTGCACTGGGAAAAACTTCATAGCTCAGCAGGTCACAGCAGGTGCTTTATCTGATAGTAAAATGACACAGTAAACCTCCTCTTCAGTCTGTTCTGTTTGTATTTTGTTGCCTGAAGCAGTGAACACATGGTTTTCTGGTTCAATTACTGTGATTTTCTGCCATAGACTGGAATACTGCAGGAATTTTTCCATAGGGCTCATCTCTCAGATTACTGTAATGGAGACCAGTAAGCTGTCTTCTGGCTTAGTTTTTTAGTTAAATACTTGCCAGGAGTCTTTACAGTATTAGGTAGGGGAACTTCAAGTTTAGTGAATTCTTATCAAATAAGCACAGAAAGCAGATGAAAATATCCAGTTTTGCTTCTCCCTCAACTACTGTACCAGTTGTGCTTTGTGGCATTGAAGTTCTGTTGATCAAGCCTCAGGGCTAGGAGGAAGAGAAGAGCCAGAAGACAAACACAGGTTTAACGAAAACCTGTGAAGAGTTTGCATGTCAACTTGATGTGTAATACGTGCAGAAAGGGCAAAACCAGATAGAAGATTGCAGCGTAGGAAAACCTCAGCAGGTAGGGGGAAGAGGATGCTCACTGAAATAAGGGACAGCTGTACCTGGCAAAAACAACATGGAAAGGAAAATATGACCATTTGTTACAGAGCAGGGACATATGAGTAGGTAGAAGCAGAGAAGTAATTCAGAGGATATGTCTTGTCCAGAACTCCACTTGCATGTTTGCCTGACAATTTTTTTTTCCTTACCTGTAATATAGCCGCTGGATTACTTATTGCTGCAATCGCTCTGACATACTCATGTTGTAGAATGAGTACTTTGCTGTACTTAGCACATGTTCATTGGGTTTACTATGCTCACTAAGCCTTTTCAGTGCTGCTCTGATCATGGTGTATGTTCTTGGGTATATACCTATATATTCATATTTGTAAAACAGTGTACAGGTACTTGTACCGAGTACAAGCTTGTACTCTCAAAAGTACCTCGAGCAGCCTTGCGTTCTCACATGCAGATCTTTTAGCTTGGTTCAAACGCAGTCCAGTGCTTGAGCTCCGATTGTCTCAAAATACTACTCCAGAAGAGTATCCTGGCACTCCGTATAGTGCCATATGGATGTGAAAACATAGCTAGGACACCCGGCTGAAGCAGGTGTGTCTTGTGATCATGTTTATTTAGAGTGAAAAATTAGTCCAAGAAAAACTAATCTTGAATCAAGCATTTACCTATGTGCTCGGCCCTTTCGAGTGTCCCAGACTCTCAGTTTCATTTCCACAGTTTTGCTGATGATCTGCTGATGCTTTTCTAGCCTGCCGAAGGCTGGGAGAGGAAAGATGGGGTGTGTGGTCCACCCAGACAGTGAGGTGGTGGGAGTTTGCTAACAAACACTGGAAGGCAGCAGCCCTGGAAAAAAGATCAGGCTTGCTATTTACTAGTGCTTATGTTTTTCCTTAGCAGAGGGAAGGCGAAAGTGCTGCTGGCAACTTTCCTCTGGTGGGTTCCACCAGCTTCTGCGCTTGCACCCTAAGCTGCAACAAACAGAAGGGCAAATCAGTATGTTTGAAATGGCGAGTTCTGTGCTAGCTGTCTCTGCTGTGTATGGTGGGATGCCAGGTCAAGGAGAGCTTTGAATTAGTGCCACCTAACTGTTCTCCTTCCTTATAAATTCTCTGGAGAAGGCTAAATGTATTTTAACCCTAAGAAGGTGTGTTTCATTACACTATACCTGGAATAATTATTTTGTAAGGTGGAGAGGGAGCTTAGAACTGCTTTCATAAGACAAAATAGAAATAAAAAATGGATTTAAAAAAAATCTTTTGTCCCCCATGTTCTTACAGGCAAATCCTTTCCTCCAAGTGTAGTTTCTGTTTACAGTCTGTTGGACCTGTCTGGTTCCCTTGGAAGTTTCCCAGAAGTTTCCCTTTTTCTTACTCCTGAGGCTTGCCTGGCCTTGCTCCCTTGAGTATGAACAACCTTCGGGTGTCTTAACAACCTAGAGACTCCTAGCTCCTTTCATGGTCCCTTTCGCCTGCCCCACACTGTGATCTGGAAGTGTGTCCTTGCAGCAGGAGAGGTAGTGCCAAGGTCAGAGACATCTCCCCTGCTGTGAGGCTCTGCCTGACCCAGTGCTTTTTCCCCAGAGGAGCAGAGTGTGTATCCAGGTGTACATCTGGGAGCTGCTGTCTTGTCCCACATCTACACTGCAGACTTATTCTTTTCCACAGACTTGAAAGTTTTGTATGGAAGAACTGAAATACACGCTATCAGTGGAAAAAAAAAAAACTTGTTAGTAATTCATTGTGCAGGCATAAGTGAGAAAAACTGCATTACTAATACAACAGTGTTGCAGTCTGGATAAAGTAAGACAAAAGGTAAGATTGTGATGCAGATATGAAGGAAAGGATGTTGTGTGAAGATGGCATGGCATTGCTTCAAGCTGTTAAAGACATGTTAGAGAATACTCTGGATGTAGACCACATGTGCCTTTGTTTTTAAGGATTTGTGTTTTAATAGGTCCTTCGTGTGTTTTCAGTGAATGTTTTCAGTCTGTGATTGTGGTCATGTCATCCTGATTCACTTAAGAGTAACCTGACACAATGGAATTAATGGTAGTGTCATATGTGGATCACTAGATGAGAGTATTTAGTGTCAAGAGCTGACTGTGGTTTGGTAGTTAATATAATTATTACCAGTGGTTATTGGTTATTTTTAAATCAGCTGGGCACAAATTAATTCACCCAAGAGTGCCTAGAAAGCTGCCTGAAATACTGTTATAGGCATTAGTGCTTGTCTTCTCCAGACTTCTGGAGATTGGGTGAGATCCTGGAGGCCTGGAACTCAGCATCTGCTTCTCAAAGGTGGGAAAGGATTAGCTAAGGCAGGATTATAAGGTCAGCCAGTGTACCATAATTCCCAGTAAAAATGTGGAAACAAGTAGATTATTAAACCTGAACAGTGATAAGGAGGGCAGAAAAGGCTAACACAGATTAGTTACGTATAGCTTCCCCTTGATAAATCCTATTCTTCCTGACAAGGTAACAGGTCTTCTGGGTAGAGGTGAAAAAGCAGATGATATGGATCTTCATTCTATTAAAGCTTTTAAAATAGTTTAGTTCAGTCTATACAGCCTTAGCTTGCCATGAGAACGTCATATGAGGCTGCATCACCATGAATGATAACTTGCTGGAAAACCATACTCAGTAACAAAAATTGTTAAGAGACTCACTAGATTGGAAAACAGATTTCAAAATAATAATTTAAAAAATCTGTAGAAATCTGTTTGTATTTTGATACTAGTTCTTGTTGTGGAAGGTGTCCCTGCCCATGGCAGGGGCTTTGGAACTCGATGATCTTTAAGGTCCTTACCAACCCAAACCATGCTATGATTCTATGTTTTCAGTCAGAAAATCTACATGTTAGAGTAGAGATTATGCTTTAAAATTTCAAGATAAAGGTAAAAGAAGCTGGAAAGGAAATCTGAGTTCATCAGAAGACATTGCATTACACTGCAGAATGATCTTGGTGCATGGGAGAATTGGACTGCAAGAAGGATATTAATTTTGTTAGCAACAAATACAGAGCATGATAGAATGGGCAGGAATAATCAGATGAAAAAATACAACACGGTTATTAACTGACTGAGCAGCAGTTCCATAGAAAAGTTGTACAGATGACAGTGAATAACCTGATTTATGCCCGGTTTTACTTAGGATTTGAAAGATTTTTATCAAAGTGATGGATATCAACTGGAGAGAGCTTGTAAAAGAGCAGTGAGAAAAATTAGGCAGCTAACTTCACATAGGAGAGTTTGAAGAGATTGGGGTCAACAAGAGAAGAGGAGCCTAGAGGAGAGAATCGAGTAATATTCTTGAGGGAGAGAGGAGAGGGGAAAACAGAACTGATGCTAAAAGAAAAAAAAAAGGTTGGGTTTATTTTTTTCCCTGTCATGGGCAGGAAAAACAAAATGAGCTGAAATTAGAGAGAGATGTGAGCGTTGGAAGTTAGAAACAAGATTTATGGTGATAAAAATGTCTGTTGAGAGTGTGGGATTTCTTTGGATTATTGAAGTCTTGAGTAATGAACAAGGCACAGATCTTCTGGGAGGGTTCTTAAGGTTGGTGTTCCTGCTGTTGATAAAGAATGCACCAGGTGGCCACCCGAGGATTCTTCTGGTTTCAGTGGACACGTCAAAAAAGGCACATCTTGAAAACAAAATATCTTTAAGCAATTAGAAGAGACTCTGGTCACATTTTTCTCAGAATTACTATTCAGAATTATTTGCTTACTTTTTACTAAGTTGCATGTCTTCAATTTACATTACAGAGACTGACTTTTAGGCAAATATTGCTTGTACCTTGTTCCTTTTTTACAGGTGACAGAAATGGTATTCAGAAACACAACCTTGTTCAGAGTATAAACTGAAACCACAAGCATGTAGTAGTTGACTTAAACATAGGAGTTGTCAGCTAAGTGGAATTATAGTGAATGTCATTCGCTGTGTTTATTGAATATATGATTGACTTTAAGTATATAATTAAAACATTATTTAGTCATCAATTCCAGTACTCCTTGTGACCCTAAATGTTTTTGTCCCTAGCAGGGATGCTTTTCTTGCTTGTTGTCAGTGGATTGGCTTATTTCATGGTCTTCTCTTTTGCTACAGGTTTTAGGCTGGATCCGAAATGGGGAATCAATGTTAAATGCTGGGCTTATCACTGCTAGCTCTTTGCAGGAGGCAGAACAGTTACAGAGGGAACATGAGCAGTTTCAACATGCAATAGAGGTAAAAGCACCATTTCAGTGACCATAGCCAAGAAGTCCTGTATTACAGTTTATGAGTCTCTGTAAATAGAACTGCAGTAAGGAGACGTATCTCTTCTGTCTCTTCTCATACTGTTGGGTTAATGCTACAATATTTGAGTTTAGGAAAAGCTGTTGAAATCATCTTATAGCAAAGAGATAAAAACAGTTACTGGGAAGCTGGGGGTTTTTTCTTGTTAGTTTTGGAGATGCAGTTCTAGGTGAACACATCTTCTCAGTGCTTTTTTGTGTCTTTGTGAAGTAATAGACATTTTTTGATCGGAGAGGTTTAAAAAATTATAATAAATCGAACAAGTCTGTTCACAGCAATTTTACCGTAAATGGTGTTTCCCTTTGTTAGAATGCAACAATATGATGCTAACTGCGGAAGTTAAGAATAAATGGAACAGCAAGTATTAGTTTTGTGTATTCTCATATGGTCCTTTAATGTTTCCATTTTTGTTTGGCAGTAGGTTTAACTGAAATTTGTGTGTGGTGGTGTGTCCATCCTCCTGCCATGATTTCAAACTAAACTTATCAAAATGGTCATATCTCTACAAAAAATAGGCAGAAATCTTAAGATTGACAGGAATTATGTATTATTAAATTATGTGTGTGATTGGGGGACTTGGGTTGATAGTTATTATATACAGCACAACAACTTTACTGTTGTTGAAAGAATGACCAAAGTTGTGATTGGGAAAGCTATTTTCAGAAGTGGGCTGTTGTACGATAACTTCTTTTGTGTTCTTCTGATATTCTGTGGAGTTTTCTGTCTCCCCCTGTCTGTTTTTTTGTTGTTTGGGGGGTTTTTTGTTGGTGGTGGGTTGTTTGTTTTTTGTTTGTTTGTTTGTTTTTTTCCCCACAGTTTGCACTATTTGTACCCTCATTTTGAGAGCTTTGGTAACTCTTAAGTATAAAAATCATGAGACCCCTAGATGTTTGTCGATTTAAGGAAAGATTATTAGGAAGCTTAAATTCTGAGTTTTCTGGATCATTCTGTACTTGGCTATAATAATATTCATTATAATTAGAGGTTCCAGATTTCAGGCAAGTATATGTCTACACAGAGAACGGTAGTTAAAAATTTGCTTACAATGAATGCAGAGTTGTCTTTTGTATTGTCCTGCATATTTGCACCTTCATTTGCACACTGCTAATGCACAATAAAGTGTGGTACAACTGTGAGGACAGTAATAGCAATCAAGCCAAAATAAGATACATCCTTTCCATCTCTTTTTTTCTTTACCATGAAGGAAAAGGAAATCAACCTAAAATTCATAATTACAGCAAAGTGTACTGCAACATAGATATGCCATGTGTTGCTTAATGCTATGCAGTGGCTGTTGCTTGTAAACTGCTAGTCATTGTTGTTTTGATGATAATTCTCTACAGAATGTATTTCCTTTGTATTTGCATAAGTGAAGTCATGCAGTGACTAATATTAGATAGTTATTTTTAGTTAATGGGTGTTTGTGCATGTGTATAGAAGTGTAATTGGCACAATGGAAATGTGAGCCTTTGAGGTCTTCAAGCAAATGAACTGAAGCATTCCACTGAACTCTGGAATTTTTACCTCTTGTCAGAAAACACATCAAAGTGCCCTGCAGAAAAGGCAGAGGCCATGCTGCAGGCTAACCACTATGACATGGATATGATCCGGGAGTGTGCAGAGAAGGTTGCTTCCCATTGGCAACAACTGATGCTGAAGATGGAGGACCGTCTCAAGCTTGTGAATGCCTCTGTTGCCTTCTATAAAACTTCTGAACAGGTACTGAACTGCTACATGATCTGTGGCTGCCTTGGTTAATTCTTCAGTATATAAAGTGGTCTCATAAGACAGAGGCTTTTTACCAAGGCCTGTAGTGACAGGACAAGGGACAATGATTTTAAATTGAAAGAGAGTAGATTAAGATCAGGTATAAGGAAGAAGTTTTTTACGATGAGAGTGATGAGACACTGGAACAGGTTCCCCAGAGAAGTTGTGGATGCCCTGTCCCTGGAGGCGTTCAAAGTCAGGTTGGATGAGGCTTTGAGCATCTAGCGAAAGATGTGGCAGGGGAGAGGACTATAGATGATCTTTAAGGTCCCTTCCAACCCAAACCATTCTATGATACACCAGTAGTAGACAAATTGTACTAACTGCTAAGAAACTACAGCGTAGTTGGTCTGGCTACGCTTGCTTCCAATTAGCAGACTTCAAAAAAGATTCACTACTGACGTGCAGTGGCTACTGGTGAAGACTCAAATCTTCATCCACCTCTTCTGTCACTCTGCCCTTTAATATTTCTCAGATTCTTATTTTTGAGGAAAGTCTTGTAAAACATTTTCAAGATGAAAGACACTGTACAAGTGCTTAGTTGGATTTCTGCTTGTTTCAAGAAGTTTTGCTTAAACCATAAATGAGTTACACAGAGGCTTTAATGGAAGTACTTCAGATGGATAATCTTTTTTTTGTGTGGGAGTCGGAGAAAAAACAGCTTCATCCTACTTGTCCACAGAAGAGTTAGGGAGAAGGCTGGCGAGGTTGCTTCGTCTGCAATCATATTTTAAGTCCATCCTGAAGTATGCATTCACACAGGCAGAGGAGGATGAGCAACTTTAGGTAGACAGCTTCTGAACAATTCCAGGTAAGCAGGCTGATGCTTGCAAACCTACAGCCTTTTTTTTTGTTTGTTGCCTTCTCTTAAGTCCCAGTCAAAACATGTCAGAAGCTAGCGTACATTTAAGAGGTAGTTTAGTTTTCCATTTTTTTGGCTTGAATTTGGAATCTTTGTCTTACTGAATTATATTAGAGTTGGTCTCCTTGCTGATAGGTGTGCAGCGTGCTGGAAAGCCTGGAGCAAGAATATAAGCGAGAAGAAGACTGGTGTGGAGGAGCAGACAAACTGGGTCCCAACTCTGAAACAGATCATGTTACTCCCATGATAAGCAAACACCTGGAACAGAAAGAGGCGTTCCTAAAGGTAGGGTTTGCAATTTTTTTTGTGGTCTTGGAAAGCATACAGTCAAACACTAACTAACTCTTAGAGTGCTGAAATGTATGTGGAAAGCAATAGTGCCCATTCAAAAGCTACAGGTATGTCCCAGACTGCAAAGATGTGGGAAATGGCACGTTAACTGCTTGTGACAGTGATTAGGAGAACACTGCCAAGTGCATAAAAATTCTATCCAGTTTATAAATATGTTTCCTGTTGAACTTCAATAGATGTCAGGTCTCCCACTGTGACTGAAAAGGAATTGTGAATCACTGCTTTGAGCAACTGTCATTCTAAAGAATGCTTAAAGACTGCTGCTTTGGAAGTGAAGTGACAGTCACACAGTGCCATTGCTGCCTGTGCATCAGGGCAGCTCTCAGATTTACTTGAACTACAGTAGAGTACGGAAGGAAGAAGTTGCTAGACAAGCATCTGGGAATAGTTGGGTTTGTGTAACAGTCTGCAGATCGATGAGAAGTTTTCATTCTAACTAATGTCCTAGTGAAGAGTTATTGATCATACTGAATAAATGTGTAACGGATGCTTGCAAAGTAGTGCAACTAACCCTGTAACTAAAGGCTTTTTCCAGCATCACTTTGAAAGACATCAGAGTATAACACTTAGCTTTATTAAAAGCCTTTTTGTTCTCAGTGCACAGATGAGAACATTCAAAAATGTGTTAGCATAGCTCTGAGTATATTTTCAAATAGACCTTTCTGCAGCTAGTGTGTGAGTTTCTTTGCGTTAAAACAATTTAAGAAATTACTTAGTGTCTCTGTCACTGAATCTAACCATGCTACCTTTATCTAACCTTTTAGAGTAGCATTTCATGTTCTTCTTATTAAAAATAAGGCAGCCAGCCCACATGTAGTACTTGGTGTGCATTAAAATGAAGAAGGCAGCTGAGCTGAGTGTTGGCAATGCAGCGGCGAAGACTGAAAGCTCTCAAGGCCTTAATATTTTAAGGGGATGTGATAACATTTTAGCACTTCTGGTTACACTTCAGTGGAGCACTTTTTGTTTCAAGTAGTGCCGGATGTTTTGGAATATCCAGGTGATTACCGAAGCACATGCACTCTGTTTATGCAAGAAATAACTTGAAGTGGCATGTGGCACATACACAAAACAAACTTCTCTGTGAGCTCTGAGTCACACTGAAAGCTCTAGAGGAGGTAATTGCTTCTCAGGATCTTCAGATAAAAAGTAATAGCATTTTGTTTGGGATTTTTTTCTGATGGATAAGTAAGGATTAACTGTTATTTGTTGGGAAAACTATTTTAGTCCCTGTGTTGGCTTACTTTTAGAAGGATTTAACAAGCAACACTTTTTAAAACTGGAGAGGGTGGGAAATGCACAAAGGGGGAAGAGGAAGGTCCTTCATCTTTTTCTGGATGTATATGTGTGCATCTTTAAGGAAAGTAATACCACTGACTCTCTAGGCTTGCACACTGGCTCGGAGGAATGCTGATGTCTTCCTGAAATACCTGCACAGGAACAGCGTAAACATGCCAGGGATGGTGACACACATCAAGGCACCTGAACAACAAGTGAAAAGTAAGGGGTTCTAGTTCCTTTTTTCTCCAAAGAACGTGATCATCATGTGTTGTGGTGTGTGTGATGATGGGGGAGTGAAGCCTACCCAAGTGGAAAGGGTTCTGTCAAGCTTAACAGGAGATAATTAAAATTGCTCGCACACTTTGAAGGAGCTGCCCTTCATCAAATTCTGTTATACGCAAATGAAGTTACTTTGAATTTATCTCCTGTTTACACTTAATTTTCCTTCAATTTGAGACTCAAAGGTACTGCTTTTGTTCAGAGAATGAGATAGTAAACTTCCCCATGATAATGTCTGGTCTGAAGCCAAATGGGAGCTGATCACTCTAAGCTTACTCAGTGCGTTAGTGTAGTGCATTTTGAGAGTTCCTTGGGAGTTCCAGGGTGATACAGGATAATCCCTTGAATGATGCCCTTGGACTCTTTGTGTAGTTGGATCAGTATTAAGGAACTTCATGAAGTATAAGATAACTGACATCATGTTTAAATTAGATGTGTAGATAGGTAGTAGCTGAGGTGAGGCAGGAAAGGACTAGTACATGGGGCTTGGGTTTTTGCTGGGATTCAGTGTAGTGCAGCTTTAAGATATAACATGCACTGTGTTGAATGGAGTAGAGAGAGGAATCTATATGTCTTTTAGGGACAAAAGGACAGGAAATTACTAGGGTATGCATAACTGCTGGATGAGGTAGGCAGAACAGAAATGAGGGAGATATTCAGAAATAAGTATTGCATTTTACTCATTTATTTGTCAGTTGTATTCTGCTTGATGCATTTTGAAGCTGTGACTGAAGACTCAGACCATGCTACAGACTCAAAACCAGATAAAGCTAATTGTCTAATTGCTGTTTGCAGCTACCCAAAGGGGAGTTATGCAGAGGATGGAGCCAAACTTGGAACACGGCAGTAGGACCAGAGGAAAAAGTTGCAGCAAGGCAAATTCTGAATGGATATAAGGAGAAAGTGTTACAGCAGGAGTGAGAAAGCATTGAGTAGAGCAGGTAGCCCGGACAGGTAGTGGAAACTGTGCCCTTGGGAATTTTTAAAACTCAGTTGAACAAGCCCCTGAAAAACTTCGAAGGTAGTCCTGCTTTGAGGAGGATATTGGAACAGGTGGCCTCCAGAGGTCACTTCTACTCTAATTTTTTTGATGACTGTGAGTAAAGGACATGCTCGCTACTTTACTTTACTACAAGAGGAAAATTGTGTTAAACTTAGCCATGTATTTGACAGTACTGAAATTGAAAATCTCCCTGTGTTGAATTTTTTTGTGTTGGAAAGATAATAGGGTATTGGCCATACTTTTCACTCTAAGGAAATAATTGGATTGTGGCAGCTGAAACTTTGAGCATGTAAAGCTAAGACAAGGGTTGTTTTTCCTCTGTGCCCAAGGCATCAACATGTATAGAACTGTACAAGACAAAATCTCAACACAAATGCTGGCAGTATCAATAACTGAGGAAGTGTTGCTGAGATTTGTCACTTAGCTCTTCTCTTAGTAGTAGACAAAGAAAACAAAGCGGAAGCAAGCAGGAAGTTGTAGCTACCACACTTACTGAGTATAAGAAAAAAATGTTGGAGTTTTGGACAAACTTCTTAAAAACTCATTTCTGAAAGCTGTGTAGAAACAGTCATTCTGAGAAAGGTAAATGTGTTCAGATGAGGAAATAGTGGAAAAGTCTCTCCTAACATCCTTAAGAATAATTATATGTCAGAACTGTAGCGGTATGCATGTTCTGTGTACATTTAAAATCCTGGGTGCATTACACATGTTTAAAAAGCAACAAAAATCCCCAAGCAGGAAAAAAATAAGCTATGTGCTCTAACACTTTTCCCCCATAAGCCATGCAATATATGCTTCTGAAAATTAAACACGAGTCATGATAAAACTAGTGAGGACTCCTTCCTTTTCGGTCTCAGTGGTATGGTGGTAGCTGACCAAATGATTTAAAAGTTCAAGTATGCATGTAAGGAAAAAATATATTTTCATCTCTTTTCTAAATAGATAGAGGAAAGAAAAGTAAGTGTGTTTATTTCATTTTGGTGAAACAGAGGTTCTGTGTGTTTTGCTGGACCATTGCACACTCATACTCAGGTGTATGCCTGAAGCAGTGTGTCAGACTGTGATCAGTATGTAGTATATACATGAACACTTTAAAAACTTGAGTAACACTTGAGTTTCTGCAGAACTGCTGAACATTTTTCAAAAACCTAATTCAGTGGCATACTTGATCCTTATTCTGAGCTGCAGATTATGATATCTAGAAAAACTGTGTCTTAATCTAGGCAACGTTTAGCTAAGCACATGCTTCATGGGAAACAGGAATCACAATGGTACTGAACTCTTGAGAGGTATCCTTCTGTCCCTTCATACCAGTATAAATATTTTCCTTGACCTGCAGTTAAGAGTATCCAGATACGATATTGGACGTGGTGAAGTTATAGCTGAATTATAGGAGATTGAGGCCAGAAGCTGTGCTGTGGCAGGTGGATTCAGCTGGTGACAATTGCTGTAAGATCATGGATGGAGCATCTTCATCTTGCTTCTGCTGATAATTTTGCATGCTCCTTTGTTACCTCTGTCACTGCTGTACAGGCTGCGACTGAAGGTAGTGCAGAAACTTGTCTAGTGGTGCTCGTATTTTTAGATAGGTTGACAGAGAATGCAGGATGCATAGAGACAGCTGAAAGCTCTCTGAGCCTGAAGAATAACCTGGAAGTTTAGGGAGCAATCCTAGCAAATGTTGGAATCAAAGAAAATAAGAACAACAGGGACTATAGTTAAAAGGCTTGCAATAGAGCTGCTCATCCAAACCTAGTATTAAGTGTTGATGTTCTATAACTTCCTTTGAGTATTTTATGGTATATTTTTTCTCTTCCTTCTCAGTCCAAGAAATTAACGGCAATAACATTAACAGTGCCCAGCCAAGTGTCTCTCACTGGCTTGCCATCTGTATCATGTCCTGACAGAATAAACGCTATTCCAGTTAGCTAAATTCACCTTGGCTTGCTCTTTGTCAGAACTACTTCACTTGCGTCACTATAAAGATACCTTGTTTTACATGGTGTCAGGTTGGGTGTATTGCATTGTTTAATAATAGTGTCCCGTGTCCCCCCCAAAATCCGGCATATATTTTGGAGCAAGCATTTTGGAGGTGGTGTAAGGCAGAAATAAACCAGACAAAGCAGGTGAGGCTCATAGCAGATCAGCTCGTGGCTTGGCTAAGGGACAGGTCAGTTGAGGCATATTTCAGGGTAGCCTGCCTAGCAGGAGGAAAACTGTGGCTGCAGTGACCAAGTTCCAACCAAAAGCAAGTCCTGGGTGATCTCAATGCTCTGTGGCAAGTGGGAATACAGAGCTTCCAAACAGGAGGGCTTTGGCAGCAGTGCAGACAGGTTTCATAATCCTCAGGGTGGCCATGAGGAGTGGTTGTAATTGGTCCCAAATCACTGGTAGAAATGCTTTTCCCCTCAGGCTCCCTTTATTCTAGCTTCCCTGTTTCAGACTGTTAGCTTTTGGGATGTAAGGTGTGGTGGACCCACACAGTGGGGCGGGGAGATGCAGAGGCATTAAGAGGCCTGGCACCTGAGAGCCTCCATAATTATGGAAAAGAGCAAGCTGCAGGTAAAAGTAGAAAAGCAAGTAAAGCATTGTTGTGAAGAATGAGTCTTTTTTTTGGTGGTCTCTTCTGTTTCTAGTAGACTTCCCCTTGGATTCTTTAAATTTCCAAAGGAATCACCTGGCAGAGATGCTGGGTTTCCCCATTTCCAGGTATTTCAGCTTGCTGTCTGGGTTTGCAGCAGCTGCAAATTCGGGCAGGTCTGCTGCTCTGGAAGAAGCAGTGGGTAAAGTGAGCTTCACAAGAAACTGCTAGGATTTCTTTGTTTGAAGAAAATAAAAAACAATAAGCATTATTTAAAGAAGCAGAGTTCAGATAAAATCTTCTGCGTATTGTAAGCAAAAGATCTTTGCCACCCAGGAAGAATTTATAAGCCAGGCATGTGGAACTTCAAGTTAACGGTGGAGTTTGGAACTTGGCTTCTCAATGGCAGACAGTTTCTGATACTCAGGAATGGAATAACTAATTATGGAGTTGATTATTTGATTACCTAGAAATTCTCTCAAGTCTTAATGAACATTCATATTTGAATAAGTCAACTTACTCAATTATACTACTATTGGTTTTGATTTTTTTTTAAGGGAAATTAATAATTTTGTGGATTTTTCTTTTTGTGAGATGGGTTTCTGTACATATAATATCTGCCTGTATTGCGTTTCTTCTTGTGGTAACCTAAGGTTCTGTATTTGCCCATATGTATTAAATTATTAAAATATTTATAGGAGTCTGGTATATTCAGAAAAGTTTTTTATGGTAATTAGTATGAGATATTAAGCATGTTGTGATTACTTGTGCACGCGCATTTTTTCTGAGGAAACCCTGACACGATCTATCTTTGTCAGACTACATTTTCAATCCTGTTATAAGCAGTAGCAGTCCCTGTATGAAAAATACTTGAGAAAAGGTGTAAATATTAAGCTTAATTAATTAATTAATTGCATCTCTAGTTTCTTTAACCAGCATTTCTGTACATAGTAATGAAAAAGGAACACTCTGTGTTTCATGACTATCAGGAAAAAGAGCAAAACAAAGAGTAACAGAGTAAGTGTATTGTAAACTCCGCAAGATGAAGTACTTTATTCTGCTAATTTTAATGTGATATTTCAAAATCGGTTCTCATAACCTCTGTTGAAACTGTTTTCATTTCTTCAGATATCTTGAATGAACTCTTCCAGAGGGAGAACCGTGTACTGCATTATTGGACCATGCGTAAAAGACGTCTTGATCAGTGCCAACAGTATGTGGTGTTTGAAAGAAGTGCCAAACAGGTGAGGGTTTTATATAAAAATCCTCTTCAGAGTGATGAAGGTTTGATATACACCAACTTGTCCCACAATAACAAATTTACCATTGACTTCAATATTTCAAATGACTGAAGTATCAATGATGAAAATAGAAAGTAAGTGAAATTATTGGCTTTTCCTTTAATACAGAACAACTAAATCCATTGAGGTGGGGTGTCTTTACTGCTGTAACTTAAAGGCAGTGTTTTGCTTCTGCCAGCTTGATCTGGTACTGGCAAGTCTCATTTCTGCAAGCTTGTGTTTGGCAAATTGTTACACTTGTTAACTTTTACACACACCTAATTTGACTGGGGAAATAATAGGCAGCAATGTTTTTCTCAGATGTTGGGGGAAAAAACATCTAATTAAGTTGAATGGCAGTTCTAGAAAACTGACAAGTTGTATAACTCATTAAACAATAAATAACTGAATGACTTCGTTAAGTTTTTGCAATTTTGCATGTATTTGGTTTCATGGTTTTTGCATGGTAGATCCACCTCTTTGTATTTTGTTGAATTTATCAGTCTGGAAAGAACTATTAAGTGAGTACTGCACACAGAAAACAGCCCCTTCACTAACCAAAACGCAAGCCATAAAAATAAGTAGGGGGTTCCAAGACAGAATTAGTAACTGGAATGATCTGCAATGTTTCTTTATTTTTTTTTTAAGTGAGTATCAGACAAAGAAAGGAAGCTATCTGTTCCTGTTCTGCAAAAAATGACGCAACGCCCATAGTGTGAAATACAGTTAGATCTACTTTAAAGGACTCAAAAAAGTAATTTTTTGTATTTCTTTCTGACAGCAGTGTAGACAGAGGCTTAAATACTACTGGTCTGTTTTGATCTCTTTGAAAGATTTTTTTAAAGTCTGTCTTTCATGATTTCACAAAGGAAGTATTGCAAGAAAAATCTTGGAGTAAAGTTAAAGATTAATACCTCTTTAAAACAACAACAGCACCCCTTCCCTGCCCCCACCCCACTTTTGAATAACCTTAACTCCAACCTCTGCCAGGCACATGACCCACTTGCTTTTGTATGGTCATTACTGAATAACAGTCAAACACTGGAGATAAAGATCAGTCAGCATTTTCATTGTAAATCCCATTTTTCAGCAGTCACCAGTTCAGTCATCGAAAACCAAACTGCATATGGACTCCACACTGATTAGCCAGAAAACTGAAATGTTGGTGTCTTCATTTAGATTTTTGTTTGGAAGTTGGAAGTACCCATTCTTTGTGCTTTCAGAACTCAATGCCCTGGATAGGAGGCAGATACCATAGTAGTTTGCAAGGAAAATGATGAACTCTCAAATCATTCCACAGTTAAGGACTCACCTGGTCACTAAATTCATTTCTCCAGTTCTTCTTGTATGATGAGATGTGTCTCCACCATAAAATCCTGATCCTCCCATGAAATAAGAGCTCGTCTAAACTGTGGGAATTAACATTAGGATGAACCTTCTGTCATGTTGTGGCTTTAGAGAGCTGCCAAAAAGTTCAGAAAGGGCAACATTTGGGGAGGGGAAGCTTTTTTGTTCATCGTTAATTCCAGCATTGTGTAATGAACCCGCCAAAAAAAGGTAGAGGTTAAAAAGTTAAAAGTGAGAAGTATCAAAATAAATTTTATTTGTAGTATCAGTGCTAGCCATGCTTCTTGTCGATATCAGTCTTCACTTGCAAAGATTGACATTAGAATGGCAAGGGGCATTGTACACGTGATTGGTTGAAGTGCCCCTTTTCTTGACTCTAGTCCAAGAGTTGTTGGTTTGTGTCCATCAGTGGCGCTTGAAAAGTACAGGCTCATCTCATGAGATTTCTGTCTGCACTAGTATGTGACTGGGTAAATGGCATCCTAGCATTCACATTCAGTGTTGAATTTTGAAGGCTTTCTACTCACTTTATTTTTTGTACCAAGAGGCAAAAAGCAGGTCCAAAGTGGAAGGAAGAGAATCGAAGATGTTCAGTCACAGGCTTGATTAGCTTAAATTGTACAGATGATGCCTTTTCTGATTCAGTGTAAGGTTATGTTCTTGAAAAATGTGTATCTACTCTCCACGAAGATAAAATTTCTTTTCTGGGTAATGTGAATAGATAAAAGGGTAAACTGAAAGTATGAGAGGGAAAAGGAAGAATGAGGACCTCCTAGCAATCTACTACTTTTTCTCTTAAGAGTATTAACTTTGTCTAGTGCTGTATATGTTTACTGAAGACACAGAAGATACACAGGCATTTAATAACAAGACAGTTCTAAGCAAGCTATATTGAACTCTTTCAACATTTGATATTGACTTTGTCAGAACCAAAAAGTTTCTAAGTTCGTGTGCCTCTTCATAACTGCTGTAGTAGCCTGCACTAAGAGCTGCAAAACAGCTTGATAATGTAAGACTTTAGTTACTTTTTTTGTTTTTACTGTTACGAGGCAGTTTGAGAGGACTCTTATTTTTTTTTTCCAGTAGACAGAGAGGAGGGTTCCTCGCAACCACTAAGTTATGCTTAAAAGGGCAGCATACATTAACGTGGGTAAAACATAGATAACGTGAATCAGGATGGTTCATAATAGTGAGAGAGTAAGGTTCCGAGACAGGGAAGGGAAACAATTTTAGTTTGCAGTTCTTAATTTCTTGTCTTTTACTACCTATACATACATTAGTTGGTTTAACTGATACATCTTACTATTCCTCCTCTGCTGCAGGTTTAATTTCTAGTACATGTAACTATATACCATCACTTTGTGAGGCTGGAATACATGTCAACTAAAGAATGAAATTGTAGTTAAATCTTATGTGCTTGGAAAGTTTAGCCTACACATTTGTCAGTCTTATGTACATTTTTACAAGTTGGAAAACGCATATTTCTGAGTTCAGCTGTCCGGTGTTGCACCAAAAAAGTGATTTTCACTCAGCTGGGGAGTATGCTAACAAAACTGTAGACATAGTCAGTTAGAACCTTTTAATAGTGGACTGCTATAGTCCTATAGTAGTGGACTTCATGACATCTTGAGGTATTCAGATTCATGTGTCAGTTGTTTAATTATTTAAGCATTGCTTCATAGACTAAGTGAATTATTTCAGAATTACAAACTTTGATATTGTTAGAGGTATTAGATGATTGCCACGAGTGACAGAGTAAAATTTACCTGTGGCTAATCTGTGTTCATGAAATACTGATTGCAGATGGTTTCTAATGACAAAAGTATGTTGCCTTCTCTCTTACTTTTCCTTCATTATTGCTTTATTTAGGCTCTGGAATGGATTCATGACAATGGAGAGTTTTATTTGTCCACACATACTTCCACTGGCTCCAGTATCCAACACACTCAAGAGCTGTTAAAAGAACATGAAGAGTTTCAGATCACAGCAAAGGTAAAAAAAAAATAAAAATATGTAAGATTTAAAAAAAGAAAAAAAACAAAAAAAACCCCCAAAAAAACCCCCCGCAAACAACCCAAATTCCCTGCTCCCCCCCAAAGAATCTGCAAGATGTGTCCATCAAGATTAGTTTACTTGCAGTGTCTTTGTCTCTGTACTTCTGCTGGGAACAGAATAAACCGAAAGGTAATCAGAAGGTAATCACTGGTACTGGAGCTCCATCAGCCCTATGTGTTGTTGATTTCACATGTCAGAATAGTAGTGAGATAGCTTAAAAATGTTTTTTGAAAACCTGCAAACCTTGCAGGGCCTTCGACTTCTACTTTTATATCCTCGTGTCTGTGGATTACTATATGTTCATTTAGGATATAAAATACAAGAAGACATTATTATTCAGCTGGGAGTTAATTAGAAGATAGTAGAAAAATTAAAGCTTTACTTGTTAGGGTACTCATTTTATTAAAGTATTCTGTTACTCTGGTGTAACTTTTTGAGCCATGGCAATGTTACATTATTCTGCGTCTCTGAAGGCCTATACAGAGATGTAGATGTCACTTGTGAGGCTTACCAGTTTTCACATGTGAAAGACAGGCAGCTAGTGCGTGACTGAAATACCTGAGCTTATGTAGCCTTGCCTGTCTCTGTTTTGTTTTGTCACCTGTTCAAACTGTCACCTGTTTCCACCTCTCGGCTCTCCAATCTTCATAGAGAAATAAGAGAGTCCAAGAAAGTAAGCAAGTGTTCATTTGCCTGAAGGACCACCTCAGAAGAGAAGAGACTTGGAGATGGAGTTGGTCATGGGACCATGTGAGAAGGGAGAATCCAAAAAGAACAGAGTTCACTTTTGCTTTTTAAACCTGGATTTTCTTCCTTCTGAGTTTTTCTCCAGCTTTTGTTCTGCTGGATCCCTTCCAGCATTCAGAGCACCACTGCCCCCCTTGTTTCCTCTGTCAGTCCACAGATGACGCGGGCGCCCCTTTTGAAAGGATGTTGTTAGTGCCACTCCCTTGGTGTTTCGCTACCTGTTGGGAGGGTGTATTAGCTGTTGCTAATTGTGAAAAGAAATTATTGGATGAGGGACCGTTAGGAAACAAAAAGAATTAAAAAAAAAAAAAAAGGAAAGGACAAAAAGTGTTGATTTTCCATCTGACCTTAAAAAGTCAAGTTTTTGACTGTTTTACTTAACTCCGTGTTACCAAGGGCCCTCACAGTACATTTTAGTTTGACATGGTATCAGAGAGAGAGAGAGAAGTGGAAGTATAAACTCATCCATTGTTGATGACTTATGATTTACATGAAAGGAAGTGCATAGTCTCAGGCAGCTTGTTAATTGCGAAAAGCACTTATTTACAGATTTGGTGGTGGCTACTTTTGTTCCCTTAGTTTCTCTCAAACAACTGTATGACAAGAAAACATTATTTAAAAAAAAAACTAAACAATATACTCTTAATCCGTTAAAGTGTAAAGCCTGTAACAAGACTTATCTCCATCTCAAGATTTCAGTGATGTCTAAAGGAGATAGATTCTTGAGACTATAGGCCAGGTCCAATACCAGTGTTCCAGTGGTAATGCACAAAATATCCTCTTTGGCATCAAAACCCCACTGTATTGATGTGAGGAGAATACCCATGCTCTGAAAAGCTTGCCTAGCAGAATGTAATCTCTGGGTTAGATTTGGAGCACATTTCTGCTTCTGGTCATGTAGTAATAACCTAGAGCCCTATATATATATCATATATATACACATATAATAAGCCCAAGAAAACCTATATTCATCTTGTGCTGTTTTTATTAAGAAAAAGATATCTGTATAAAGAGAGGAGAAAGCTAGCTCCTTTGATGTTTTCTCCAACAGCACTTCGTAGCAGGTTAAGCAAAGTGACCCCCTTCGTGACAGGTAGAGTTAGTAACTGTTCGATATTTTCCTGTTTTCATAGCAAACCAAAGAGAGGGTGAAGTTGTTGATACAGCTGGCTGATGGCTTTTGTGAAAAAGGGCATGCTCATGCAACAGAGATTAAAAAATGTGTCACAGCAGTGGATAAGAGGTACAGAGACTTTTCCCTGCGCATGGAGAAATACAGGACCTCTTTAGAGAAAGCTCTGGGCATTTCCTCCGATTCCAATAAATCGGTAAGAGAAATTTGAGTGTGATGACAGACAAACAAACTTTGCTTGCATTTGATTTAGCTGTCATTTTCTCCTGTCTCCTTTCTTAATCAATTTTTCCTTTCTTTAACAAAGAGCAAAAGCTTACAGCTGGATATAATCCCAGCCAGTGTCCCTGGGTCAGAGGTGAAACTCCGTGATGCTGCTCATGAGCTTAATGAAGAAAAACGAAAGTCTGCCCGCAGGAAAGAGTAATAAATTTATTTATTTTTAATCAGTGAGAATGCATAAATCAATCCTGATAATTAAACAACTGTCATGGCTTGTCTGTCAGCTTAGAAATTGGATTAATGGTAAAAAGAGAGTGATGTTACTCCGTAGCTCCTATTGTCTTTTATTGACATGCTTGTTCTCACAGATCGCTCTAGCATGTCAGAATCTTAAACTTTCAAAGCTATGTTAGACTTCTTTTAGCATGCCTTTTTTCTTTTTAGAATTAATGTAAAATAAATGTGTAAGGGGAAGAGGGAGAACAACAGTTAAATGACTGTAGCAAGTGAAAAGTGTTTGAGAAAAAAATTCCATCTTCTTCCCCATTTCTTTTTGCACTGGTTAGTAATGGAGGGATGTTAGCTCTTATGTTTCCTTCATCTGCTGTTTCTCTTCATATTTCAGTTCTCAGATTTTTCTTGCAGTGGAAAAGCAAAAGCTGATGAGGAGAAAGATGTATTCTGGTTATTATGAATTCATAACAATCTAACAGACTGAGATTTTTTTTTTTTTTCTGTTGCCACCTAAGGTTCATTATGGCTGAGCTAATTCAGACAGAAAAGGCTTACGTAAGAGACCTCCGGGAATGCATGGATGTAAGTTTTCTTTTTTTCACTGATTGTTGAAGACAGGAGTCAATCCATTGCTTTCTGTTTCTTTCTGGTTTTAACAGCCGAGCATGACTGGTTTGCAGTCATAGGACCTAATTAAGTATCTTTTCTGCTCTTAGGAGGAAGCTTGGAATGACATCTGATAACAGCCACTTTGAAATTCATCCTATATGTTTTGCTTTTGTCAGTACTGGGTTTCAACATCTGCTCTTCTTCCAATTCATAGATTTGTGGGGTTTTTTGTTTTAGAGAGGGGAGGGAAAAAGGAAGGGTTTACTTTATTTGCTTTGCTAGCCATAGAGAAGAGCTTGTGTTAGTTCTTTGCATTATCTGTATCACGTGTTCTGCTACTAGCTGACTTTTTGAATAGAAATTCAGAGAGATTCCATGGAAAAGTGCCCAGCAATTGTTATGCTGAAGCAAGTGATGTTCAGTGTTAGCTGTTGCACAAAGCATGAACAGCTAGACTTCAGAAATAACCTTGATCAGGAGTATCCTGAAGCATTAGAGGTTGTCAAGAACACTATGCATTTTAAATGATGACATCTCAGGGACTATGTCAGTTTTAGAACTTGGATTTCACTGTCAAAATCACAAGGTATATTTCACACAACAGATACTGTCACAATTGGAGATGATGATGTTGCATGGTCTTTCCCTGATTGCTCTCCAGGAATGCATGCTTACAGTACCTGGGTGCTTCTGTTCAGAGTTTATCGTGGCTTTTCATGCATCTTTTTTGTTCTGGGCAGACATATCTATGGGAAATGACAAGCGGAGTCGAGGAGATCCCACCTGGTATTGTAAACAAAGAACACATTATCTTTGGAAACATGCAGGAAATCTATGAGTTCCACAATAAGTGAGTGACTTATCTTCCATTTCCATATTACTGCTAAATCCACATGATGACCTGAGGGATTTCCTAGTGAAAATATTGTCCATATGAATAATGAATGTTTTTCCATAGAAAATCTGAAGGATTTCTTCTTGCATTGCTAAACTGTTTCAGTTGTTGCTTTTTGCAGCCAGGTAGGTACACGATTAGAAACTGTCTTTTTCAGCCTCGGACATCTTTCAGCTTTTAAGAAATTATTTGGATACATTAAAATTTTGCTGTAGGCTTTCCAGTTATTCTGAAGAGATGGAAACCACTGAAATCAACAGAATACAGATACAGCACAAACATCAATTTAAGACTCTGTCATTCTTTCAAAACCCTCATTCCTGATTTCCATGTGTGACTGCTAGTGGGAAAAAACCCTGCACTTTCTTGGCCCTATGAAGCTTTTCTGGAGATGCCCCACCTTTGTTACATTTACTTGAGTACAGAGCATGAAAGATGCTTGTCCACTACATTTTGTCTGAGTGGAATGCTTCCTAGGCAGATCTACGTACAGAAGTCTTGTTCTGAATCTTCCCACTTTGTTAATTCATTGGTGTTTGTATTGGGTTATGATTATTTTAGGTAATAAAATATACCTAGCATATTCCAGAAGCTGATTTTTACAGTCCTTTGTATGCTTTCTGTTAACTTGAGCATCCAAAAAGCAAGTCACCTCCTTTTTCTCTTGAGATGGAGGCTGAACTTTTCTTGAAACTGAAACTGTAGGAAACCTTCTTGATGGAGAACAACAGCAGTTATTAGATTTTTGTGTACTCTTACATGTTAACTGAATGTATGCTGGATCAATTTCTGATCTTCACATAAGAATTTGTGCTGAATTACATTTTTTTATTAATTGTGTTATTACACATTTTTATCCATTCCTGTTATCTTTATTTCTTTAACTCATGTTGATAGGAATTACAGCAAGTTTTCTAACCACCTTTATTCACAGATCAATATATCAACTGCTCTAATGAAAATGTTTCATGTGCCTTGTACTATTTGTTTCTTTTCTACCCATAGTATATTCCTCAAGGAGCTGGAAAAATATGAACAGTTACCAGAAGATGTTGGACACTGCTTCGTTACTTGGGTAATAAAGTCAGACTTGTGTTTAGAAGTAATAAAAGAGAAAGGAAACATGAAGGGATGGATTCTTGTTCTCAAGTCCCTTTTTAATTTGTAAATGTACTTCTTCCTCCAAATTTGAATCAAAATGTGTGTATCTGCAACTGGGAAAAAAAATTAAGGCACTGCTATCAGATGACAGTGCTTAGCTGCTCTTGAAGTTTATGCGAGTTGCCCAAACCTGCATTCAGGTTGGGTTTGGTATCTTTGTCTTAGCTATGAATAATCTACTTTTGCATACATTGCTATTGTTTTCAGTCTTACTTGCCTGATGTATTTTCTTATGCTGCCAGTTTTAATGGGAAAATAATTCGTACAGTTCAGTTTCTTGAGAGAGAAGATAAGCTCTCTGATAAGTAAAAAGTTCAGGAATGATGCTCTCTGATAACCTGTGTAGAGCTCTCTGATAAGTAAAAAGTTCAAGACAGGAATGATGCTCTCTGATAACCTGTGTAAATTTGCATTTTGTTCTGCAGGCAGACAAATTCCAAATGTATGTTACTTACTGTAAAAATAAGCCAGATTCTACCCAGCTGATATTAGAACATGCAGGAGCATACTTTGATGTAAGTACTTTGTGTCCCTCTTAAAAGCATGCATTGGCAGTTTGAGTCATGTACTTGCAGTTATGCTGAGTGCCTAATTTCTTAAGAAAATGCAAGTTTCCTGGTACTGATGCTGCAGTTTAGTGTCAGCTTGAGAAAATCAATCCTATATCTCACATGGTTAACTTATATTGCTCAGTTGGTCTCATAAAGCTGTCAAATCAAATGTAAAAAGTCACTGTCACATATCGGAGCAGTTCAGAACTGGAAGCAGGTTCTGGCAGCAACAACTGAGATACGAAGCTTCAGCTCTCCCAAGCACATTCTGCAGATCTTAGCATTTTGATGTGCTTAGTTTGCGTTGTATTTAATAAAGATGGAAATGTGTGTTAAATTTTTGGAGCAGCTTTAAATTGTAATTGTATGTAGTGGTAATTCGGTTGACTGCCATTGTTAAGAGCTAAACTGCTAAACCTACCACTGTGCTTATTCAGTCCCAAGGTTACTCGTCTACTTGTTAATATTCCGCTTAAGAAAGGACTAAAATATAGCAGCTGTTAGAGGTTTTACGCAGGAATTTTGGTCACACTGAATGACTTTTGGTTGAAAATGTATTTATGGATGATTAGATTAGAGTGCTCTCTACGTCTTTTTGTTTCCTTCTCCACTGTGCTGAGCTACTAGCTATGTAGTGACACCACAATTCTTTTTAGAATTGTTTGTAGAAGTAGAGAGAAGGACATAATAAAAAAACAAACAAAAAATCTCTGAAGTTCTTGGGGTTAATTTCAAAAATCTATCGCTGAGGAGGTGGGGATTCCAAACATGGTAAGGTAAACCCTTTCTGTGAAGCCTCTGTTAAGTTTTCAGTGCTTGAAGAGCAGAGAAGTTACTGGAAATAGATATGTATGACCAAAAAAATGAAATAAAATATAGTAAATACTATTTTAAAAAGTAACAAAGGGCTCTGATAAAACTATATGAGAAATATGTTCTTGTCACTGCCTCCTTTGATCCCTCTGTGTTAACCAGTGTATCCAGAACTCTCCATCCCCTAATCCACCTAAAATGAATTAGAAGTGTGGCGACCTAGTGCAGTGCACAGGAAACTTCAAGAGTTTCCATTGTCCTCCACTGGACCATGCTAAAATGTCATGTGTATCCCATCTTGGGAACTTCTCATACTGTAATCGTGGTTAGAAAGCATGTAGCTGCAGTGCATAACTTTCTGTTTGAAAGTGTGTGGTTAAAATATATCCAATACTGGGATAATTGGGAAACACTGGCCATGAAGTTCAACCATGATCAGTACTTGAAGTCTGTAATTATCCCATCTAATTATCATCTAATTCTGTTTTCCTGCTTTAGCTTTGTGGAGGTCATTCTTTTTTTGTTTGTGAGTGGCTGTTTTCTTTTTAAGTGTTGGGTGACCTCTTTCCTTTAGTTAGAAAAAGTTACTTCCTGCTCCCTCTTGTGGGGGAAAATGTTTTCTGTGACTATTACCAGCTAAACTAGCAGGTGGTGCTAAGAAACCTCCACGTCAGCCTTCCTGTGATAGTCCTGGCTGTTCCCTGGAATGCTGAAGTTTTTGTTTTCTCTCTTGCAAGTAACAGAAGATATACAGTTTTCAATTTTTTAGAAAAGGTAGTGCCACGTGTTCAATATCCCTAATCGTTTCTATTTGTATTTAGGTTTGTTGAAATACTTCTCAGGTACCCATGGAGGTAACAATCTTTTGTTTGTACAAAGTGAGCAGGCAGATGCACAACATAAGCACAGATGCACAACATAACCATTTTCTGTAGCTGGAATATCTTGTAATCCTGTGGTTTTTTTATTTCTCCTTGCTAAAATAAAATTTGTAGTTAATGTACACTATTGCATAGCCCTCAAAGCAGTCTATATCTGAGTGTTGGTGCTCACAGTCCTCAAATGTTTGCTTTTTTCGTGTAGGAGATACAACAACGACATGGACTGGCCAACTCTATCTCCTCTTACCTTATCAAACCTGTCCAAAGGATAACAAAATATCAGCTTCTTTTAAAGGTCAGTATTAAGTCAAAGTTCTTAATCTGATTCTCTTGTTCTTAAGAAGGCAAAGCTCTTGCTGAAATCGGGGGGCTTTTTTACTCTGCATTCTAAGACTACAGCATCCTGGGCAGCCTCAGCTATTTCTGTGATATTTTTTAGGAGACTACTGAAAGTGAAAGAAGGTACAAATAAGTAACTTTTTGTCCAGATTCCTGTAAATCAAAAAAGACACCTCTCTACTAATGTTTACTTAGAAAATATAATTTGCATTTCCAGAGTAAAAAAGTAATTCATGGCCATATAGACAGGCATATTTTTGTAATGGTGTCTGCAACAAATTTTGGCAAGCCATTAGTTAAGTTTACGATATTAAGTGGTGTAAAATATGCACATTTTTATATATTTATGTATAAAATATAATAAAATACATATATATTTATGTGTTTTATAGATGTTTATATATGCACACACTGATTACCTGTAGAGCTGTTGCACAAACAGTTGTTACTTGTAATGTTGCCTGGAAATGTCAAGTAAATAGTAGCTGTTAAACAAAATTTTTGGAAACCTGTGGTTAGAGCTTTCACTCAGTGGACAGATGTCTTGTTGACTGAGCAGTGGTGTTCTTGAACTGTGCTGGTCTCTGTTAGGTGGCATTGCTTGTTTTGTAATAACTGCCTATAAAAGCGCTGTAACTGATCTGTCTCTCCCCTTTCTAATTAAGAACTGCCATGGATTATTGTTTTTAAAATTTCTGAAAAACATTGCAGGCTATTTCAGGTCAAGTTGGATGGAAACAAGCCTGTCATTTTTAACTGAAACGTTTTCTGTTCTCGCCTTGCAAAAAGGCTCAACTTCATTAAGTTGTAACTTACTGAAATATTCTAGACTGTGCTGTTTCTGAAATTTTGGGGTATTAATTCTAACAATTATTTTTAAAAATTTTAAATACACTTTAGCCAATACATAATTGAAGTAATGGGTTAGATTGGTTTTGCCAGTCTTTGCAGAGCCAGATGGCTTTGTTACATAGCAAAATGGATTTATGTGGTGGTTACTGGGTTTTCTTTTTCTTTTTTTTTTTTTCCCCTATAAGAAAAGAGATGTAAAACATGTAAAGATGGAGACCCCAAAACTTGAATGACAGCTGAAACATTTTACAGATCTAGAAGTTCTACCTATTTTTCCAAATGGTGTTGAAGCTGCTCATCTTCTGTGCCTCCTGGAGCATATTTGAACATTACACTCACTTTTCTGTGGAGTTGTCATGAAAAATTTAAGTGTGATGGTGTAGTATTTTTCTGTGATGGTGGTATTGGCCGTTAAACAAAAATAGCATGATGGTAATAGCAGGAGTCATCTGGCTAGCAGGAATCACCTGGCTTTCCCTTTAAAAAGGAAAAGGGAATTTAACCTGAGGGAGTGAATTATGTGAGGCTTTTGAATAATAGAAGGAACATAATATGCCCTTTGAGTTACGTAAGGTACATTTTATCTTGATACTGTTGAGATGCTCAAAGGATGTGAGGAAATTTGAGTATCAGCTCAGGTGGTGTTTTGTTAGTATCTGTAAGATGTTGAATGGGCAGGGAACTGCATCGCCCTAAATTCCGTTACAGTGTTTCAGCATATTCCATTCTCTAGCTCCTGTCCATTAGTTACTCCTTGGTTGTATTCAGAAGTTTTGTCTGTAGGATGTTTTAAACTGTGTGAACGTAAAATAGAGTAATTCATTGAATACTTGAAACAATATAAATCCTCTTATCAGCAGTAGTACAGAGCAGGTCTTTGGTGTGCTGGAGCAAAGATTGACATGGGGGGGAGGTGCTTTTGTGCTGTCCTGTTTTCCACTATCTTCATGATTTGGCAGCTGTGTTGTTCTGGGGGTTGATGTAGCACTGCATCTAATAGCTGTGTCTGTGCTTATCACACAAAAATGTTGTCCTTAATGTTAACTGTTGAAGATTTCTTATTAAGCAGATACTCTTGTTTAAATTAGAGGTGGTTGACTGAAAGCCTGGGCTGCTTCTTGAGGAACAGATCATGATAAAAACCAAGTATTCTGTCATGTCATTGGTTGAGTAAGAAGTTAAAAAATATTTTATATGCCAAAAATGATTCTTTGCTTGTTAGAAGCAGTAATTGGTTGTCTATCATATATAGTGTAGAAACACATGATAGAGAGTACTAATATCTCCTCATCTTCTTCAGGAGCTGCTCACGTGCTGTGAAGAAGGTAAAGGTGAGATTAAGGATGGCCTGGAGGTGATGCTTAGTGTGCCAAAGCGAGCTAATGATGCCATGCACCTCAGCATGCTGGAAGGTAGGATTCAAACTGGCTTTCCAATTCAGTTGTATGCTGTAGATTAACTTTGTTTAATAACCTTTCAGATCTTCTCAACATACAGTAGTATAAAGAATGTGAACATTTTCTTACCTCTGGGTTTGTATTTTATGTGCCTTTTTTTTGGAGGTCTAGAAAATGCAAACTTATTTAGGAAAACAATTTGTGACAGACAGCTGGTACGGTTTCATTAATTTTTTAAATGTTCTTTCATGCTGATATATAGCTCTGCCACTGCAGATTTGGAAAATATGGAGGCTAACAAAGTTTTTCACAAGTCACCTAAAATGTGAATGGTCAGATACAATAGCTTCAGCTACATTTTCCAACAAGTATCCTTGGCTTCTTTTTATGAGGAGCATAAGCGTATTAGAGGTTATTTTGCTCATTTATGTATCCAATAATTGTCTCCAATAAGTTTGTTGTTTTCACATCTGTTTGCAGGAACACCTGTTCCATAACAGACTTCTGGTTGAATTGAAATGTCTATTCTGGCAGTACAATGTCAACATAAGCCAATTTAGCCTGGGCCTTAGCCAGGACAGCATAATCATGTTCATGGCAGACAGTGGAGGTTGGATGTAATTGCTTCTATGTGCTTAGAACAACTTTCTGTCAAAATCTGTTTTGTAATTGGCACGTTATCATGTGTGATGGTGCCGTCATACATTTAGTAATAAAGGTGTTTGGCATTTAAATTTTTTGAGATAGAAACAGAGCCGCCTTACCTTGCAACTGCTGAATAAAGACTTATAGGTGCTTTTAGTCAATATTCCTTTTCCTCTTCTCTGCCTTTTAGTAGAAAAATGGAGCTTGTCATGGAATTTCTGCTATCCTGCGAGTTACTTTAAAACTCATCTTGGTTTGACATGTGATCCTAGATAATGTGAATGCTCAAAATCACTTTTCTTCCCTGATTTTAAACAATAGCAATGTTGAACAGTTTGCAGGATCAGTTCCAAATGCTTTGTTCAGGAGATGGTGTCAGTATAAATGCTGACCAGCATTGGTAATAATCTTTTGACACTGGGAATGTGACTCTGGAGAATATCCTTATATTTTACATAAGTTGGTTTCATAACAAATCATGTGTGTATTGTTGAGTCATCTCATGTTAGACCAATATAGTGAGCACATTTCTTCTTTATGTCTCTGGAGGATTTTGAATGAACATCCTGATGCAATTGCTTCTGATGCTCTCCATAGTGTTGCCCTGTTTACAACAGCGAGAACTGTTGTTTTCTAGAGAAGAATGATGTTCTTATGTTAAGAAAATATTGGCAAGCACTATGTAGTTAAAATGCAGTTTAATACCACTATGAAGAGTATGGTAGACTAATTTCTGTTATCCTGCAACTCCAAAGCTGTGTATTAAGCTGGAAGAACACTGTACCACTAGAATGGAAGTAAAATTGTTGGTAGTCTCAATCTTCATCTTCACATTATGTCTCAAAATACGTAATCCAGCTGCTATTTCTTTATTGTGGATCAATGTTGGAGTGACTCAGTGGTGATCACATGGCAACAGCTCCAAGCTGCCATCTTTTTTCATCTCCTATTGGAACGTGTTTGCATGCTCATTGCATACGTGGTAGGGAAGGTGTACCACCAGTAAAGGTGGCACTTGGGAGCTTGCCGATGTCAGAACAGCCTGATGTACTCTGTGTGCTTGCAAGTTGCTCACTTTCTACACTGGCAGAAAGCATATAAGATAAATCATTTTCATCACAGAAGAGGTTACCAGAAGCTTACATGGAGAGATCTGTAATTTGTTGGTGAAATACTGCCAGAAGAGTTGATAAACTTCTTAACAGTTAGAGTTGAGGTACAGCTACATTTAGAATATTGTGATGTTGAAATCAAGTCTTGTTTTTAGCATTGCTTTCTTAGAAGCCCATCTCTTACAAGCTGTATTTGGGAAAAAAAAAAATCAGATAGAACGCTTGATAAACAGAAGCTGTGCTTTTTAATTTCCTCATATTATCAACTTTTCATGCTGAAACTTTCCTCTCCCTGGGTTTTTAGGCTTTGATGAAAATATAGAATCTCAGGGAGAGCTCATCCTTCAAGAATCCTTCCAAGTGTGGGACCCCAAAACTCTAATTCGAAAGGGAAGAGAGAGGCATCTTTTCCTTTTTGAGATGTCCTTGGTTTTCAGTAAAGAAGTGAAGGACTCAAGTGGAAGGAGCAAGTACATTTACAAGAGTAAACTATTCGTAAGTATGGGAGAACGAGTGATCATATTTAGAGAACTGTCTAGATTAGACTGTGACGAAGCTCAGATGATTTAAATGTGCATGAAGAAATTGAATAACTATTATAGTGCACTGAAGGAACAGCATTGGAATGTGTAGACTGAGTTGTACAAGTTTGCTGCTTTGTCATGTTTTTGAGGAGAAAGAGTAGGCTAAAAATAACTACTGAAGGCTATGTGTCAATCTTGGTGTGTCAGGACAAAGGAAAATCAAGATTGGGCTGGACTGATTTTGTGTTAACTGTGTGTGTGATTGCTGATTCTTTAAGGCTCATTTTTATAAAGCAGAAGGATGGAAGGAGTTGACAAGCTGCCTTCATCTTGCTTGTTTACTATTGCTGTTGTAGTAATATCCATATTAAGGATTCATTTTGGTGTGTATATTCTACACACGCTGATCTGGAAAGTCAAGAACTTTCCTTGTTATGGAAACGTTCATTCCAGAATGTCCACTGAGACTAGTAGTCTTACAATAATATTTTCTAAATAAAATGATAGCTCCTATGGTCTAGTGAAAGGGTGTAAAGATCAAAATGTTTTTCTGCCCATTTACACAAAAAATTCTGCTCTTGCTTTCCTCATCTGCAGCATGTATGCTCTAAAAAATGTGACCCTGGAATTTGTATCCTTCCCTGCCTGTCTCATTGGATGACTTGAGTGGGAGCAATATTCACACTCCATAAATTTAGGTAGCCAAGTGAGAAGATAGTCTCCTATGGCTTACTCTGCATCTGTCGGAGGCGGGATTAGCTTTTCTACTAGACAGTTTAGAACAAGTACTTGAAATTACTTCTCAGAATCACACTCCAGAAGACATTATTTTTCTATTGATCCTGTTGGAATGCATGACTAAGTCTAGATGGTATAAATACTGAGCCTTTTCTCCCTGCTTCAGCTCCTTTTCCTTCCTTCTTTACCCCTTCCCACCCACGTGTCCAAACTGGTAAAGCGGATTGACTCAAAACTCCTCTTTTTTCCCTATCTTACTTTGCATATTCTGTCACATAATTTCCAACACTTGCTTTCCTTCCCGATACAGGGTAGCTAGCAGGTAACACAGCTGCAGCTGATTTGTTGATCACACCTTTCTTTGGTGCTCTCAAGAACTTGAAATACAAAAACTTCTGGTGTATTGGTGTCATGATTTTACTTGGCTAACGATCCCAGAGCAGAGAGAGTCTCGAAACCACAATGCTGGGAAAGAGAAGAGCCACAGAGATAGCAAGAGAGTGAGCGTAGTTCTGGACAGACTCTCATCTATATCATCATCATGATGTGCATGATACGGAATAAACCATTGGCCAGTATGGGTCCCTAAACCTAAGGTCAAATCCTAGGCTAGTAGTTGGGGCTGTGCTCCCTCCCAGCTTCTCCTGCACCTGCAGACACTGGCACAGCAGAAAAGACAAAAGTCCTTGACTGTCCTGGCAGCAACTATGAACATCAGGATGTTATCAGCCTTCTCCTCAGCACAAATCCAAAACACAGCCTCTCACTAGGTACTATGAAGAAATTTAACTCTGTCTCAGCTGAAACCAGGACAACTGGAGGGTAACATCAGCTGCCAAGGCATTACAAGGGAGAGGAGACAGCTGAAAAATAGATCCTGTAAGCTTGTCATGTCAGTTCCTCTGGCAAGAATTTAGTAATAGCCTTGGGTCCTAGAGAAGTTGCTGGAAATCTTGAAGACTCTCATTGTGCCTCATTTTTAAAATACAAGCATATCTTTTTGTCTTCCTATTCTGTTTGGCAAAATATCCTGTAGTGCATCTTACTGTGTAGCAATTCTTATAGTTTGATCTTTAGAAAAGGTGTTCATAGAGATGTTGAAAGCATGCGTGTTGCTTTGAGCTAAAGATCTTTTTTGCATGTTATCCTGTCTCCTGCTTCTGGAAGGTGGTGGTACAAAAGTGAAGTCCTTCTCTTTACTTTAGGTGTGATAACATGGTTTCTCCAGCACAGGATACTCAATGGCATGACTTGTATTAGTGGAAGAATGTGTTAATGAACATCTTTGGCAAGAGACAAAGTGTCAAAAAGCAAATGCCTAAGGAGATCTATGAGAACAAGGCAAGCAGGTGTTGCTTTGCCAGAATACTCTCACAGTTGCCAGTAACTGGCAGTTCAGGGGCTTCCTCACCTGAATGTGGTTTCTATGCATTCAGTAACCTGCAATGGATTTCTCTTCCGTGAGCTTGTCCTTGGAACTCGTGCAGACTTCCAGCATTTACAGTGTCCTTTGGGAAAAAAAAAAATTGGGCACAGGCCAACCTCCATGCACTAAGTTTTGAATCTGATTCCCTCCCACTAGTTTTACTCAATGCCTTCCAGTATTGAAAGAGACGGTGAACAACATATGTCAGCTTTGCCACTCCTTACTGTACAGACCTCTACTCTGTTGTCCCTCAGTTCTCCCTTGTAAAATTAATAATATTCCCAAGTGTACCAAGGCTTCTAAATTTACTAGGCTTTAAAAAATTAACATTAAAAACTGTACTATCTTGCCCATTCAGACTTTATATTTGACAGTGCAGTAGGGTATGTTTTCTTTGAGTTACTTATTGTAATGTTGGATTAAGTAATTTACAAGCTTTTTAACACAAAGAGTTCTCGATGAGTCAAGTTTAAAACGCATCACAGACTTTTAAGTATTTCAATGAACAGTCCATTTTACCAAAAAGACGTGATAAAGCTGAAAGGGTGGATGTGTTGGGTTGGGGTTTTTTTTAGGAGAAAAAAAAAAAACAAACCACAAAACCAAACAACAAAACAAGTTGGCATCCAAGTGAGACAAGAAAAAAATTGCCTTTACTCAGGTACTATGTATCAAACATCTCGTGTAATGAGCTGTTTATGTACTGGTGATGATGTGTACGAGGGGAGAAGTACAGCTTCTAATAACGTAAGAATGCTTAGCAGCTCTCTTTTGGAGTGAGGGTTCTCACAGTTTGAGCTATATTTCTTAGGTTGGTTTTTTTGGTTTTTGGTGGGGTTTTGGTTTGGATTTTTTTTGTTTTTTGAAGCAGAGCCTGTATGAATTATTTAACTGCAAGCCAATTTACATGACTGATATGTTGTTCCCTTTGGAAAGTGAAAACATTTTGGATGATAATTAGCTATTAAGGTCTGACATTAGAACATTTCCAAAGACTGATTCTTAATGTAGTTGTCCCACAAAATTCTCCAGGGAAACTGCGTTTCTGAATTACTTCATCTGTTTCAGAGGGAAGGAAACACTAGGAAGGGCTCTTTTGGCAGAAAAGAAATCAAGAGAATTCTCAGGCATATCTTATCTGAGGGAAAACATAAAAATCAATAAGTAATGAGTGTTCCCTGATGGAAATCAACAAGGAGAGAAGGCAACACTTATTTTTTACGAAGCACCTTTTTTTAGAGTTACAAGGCTTTTATTGTCCTGTAAAAAATGTAAAATAAGCAATTTGATATTTCAGATTATAAATGCTATTGTTTGTTGTTACTTTACAATAAAAAATGTTTAGCTTGCAGTTCTTCCTTTTTTTTGGAGGAAACCCACCACTGCCTCTAGAATAAAGGATTCTCTCTAACATATGAGTTAGACTTAATCTTCTAAAAATCTTTAAATAGCAGAGCTTAATTCTTTAGAATATCACCATCCCTTTGTGGCTTCTGAGAAAAAAAATACCATGTTGTCCTAACAAGTTTTTCTTGGTTCCAGACTTCTGAACTGGGTGTCACAGAACATGTAGAAGGAGATCCCTGCAAGTTTGCTTTGTGGGTTGGAAGGACACCAACTTCAGACAACAAAATTGTTCTCAAGGTAATTTTAGCAGATGTGCAGTCTATACTGTCTTGTAGTTTTTGTTCATACTTGTTTGGAAGGCAAAAAGTGATGACTTTTCCTGCTTTGAGAGGGACAGCTGCTGACAGATTATTTTCCTTTGTGTGTAAAGGATGTGATGTATATCTAACTCAGATGGTTTGACAGCAGAGGGGCATCTGTGTGGTCTACTGAAGGACTAAACAAACTTGCTTTCACAAATCGGAGTAGAAAGAGGTTTGATGCTATGGACCTCTGTAGCTTGAAGACTTCAGCCACTAGGTGACAGAGCAACTGATATGCCACAGAAAAATCATGGCATAGAATCATAGAATAGTTTGGGTTGGAAGGGACCTTTAAAGGTCATCTAGTCCAAATACCAATGTTCAAGGTGTTAGTACTTGAATTCTGTAAGTATATCCACCCTGTCTTGCATGAGATGCATACAGGGCTTTAGCCTTCAAGCTGTGAAAGAGGAATAGGAATCTAAAATAAAATGGTTTTTCAGTTAATTATATTAATAATGTTGAGAAGTGTAAAGTACTGTTGGCAGTTCAAAATCATAGAATCATAGAATGGTTTGGGTTGGAAAGGACCTTAAAGATCATTGAGTTCCAACCCCCCTACCATGGGCAGGGACACCTTCCACTAGCCCAGGTTGCTCAAAGCCTCATCCAGCCTGGCCTTGAACCCCTCCAGGGATGGGGCATCCACAGCTTCCCTGGGCGACCTGTTCCAGTGTCTCACCACTCTCACAGTAAATGATTTCTTCCTAATAGTTAATCTAAATCTACCCTCTTTCAACTTAAAGCCATTACCCCTTGTCTTACCACTGCATGCCCTTGTAAAAAGTTCCTCTCCAGCATTCTTGTAGGCCCCCTTTGGGTACTGGGATGCTTCTAGAAGGTCTCCCTGGAGCCTTCTCTTCTCTAGGCTAAATAATCCCCAACTCTCTCAGCTTTTCCTCATATGGGAGATGCTGCAGCCCTCTGACCATCTTCATGGCCCTCGTCTGGACTCGCTCCAACAGTTCCATGTCCTTCACCTGCTGGGGGCCCCAGAGCTGGATGCAGTACTCCAGGCGGGATCTCACGAGAGCAGAGTAGAGGGGGAGAATCAACCCTAGACCTGCTGGTCACGCTTCTTTTGATGCAGCCCAGGATACAGTTGGCCTTCTGGGCCACGAACATACATTGCTGGGTCATGCTGAGCTTCTCAT